GGGCTGGTGTTTAAAGCAGTGTCAAGGTGGATTTCAAGGTGTGAGAGATATTTATATTTCCAGCGTGGATCAGCTCCAGACCTCCCTGCCCGCGGCGCATCCGACTGCAAGAATTAATTTATGTGCATCCCCACCTTGTCCCAGCCCAGCCGGCCGCGCTCTGCCCGGCACGGCGCTGTAAAATACTTGTGTATAGGAGTGAGAACTGCAGATATTTATTAAAAGTGGGTTTCTTGACAGTATTTTGTGTACTAAATATTTACGCTGAGGGCAGGTGACTCTTCCTTTTGCCGAGCTCAGACCTGGAGGTGGAATTAGATACTGTGTCGTATGGATATGGAAGCTGCAATTGTGTAGCCAAATTGTTGATGTTACTCTTTACAAAAAGGGTTTTTATCGCAGGTGTCTCTCCTTTCTCAGTGGTCACCGACGTTTCCCGTGCAGTTGCTGCTCCAGGATGGAGCCAGTCAATGCTGGATCGGGGCCCCAGAGATCCAGTTCTGGCCCATCCTGGGGGTCCCTGGGGGCAGCAAGGGTGGCACTGGCCAGCAGCAGAGCTTTCAGACGTGGCAATAAAACAAACCTGGACATCCCGAGGCTTTGCCTGCTGTGACTCACCTGGCAGCATTTTGGCATTTTTGTGTCCTCTTTTTTAGCCATTTCCCTCCCGGGCAGGACCCTCCCCGAGCGGAAATAAAGATGAAATATTTTAACGGGATTTTTAAACCAGAACTCCTGCCACTGGGGGCTGTGACGCGCGGGGACACTGAGGGCGAGGATCAGCTCTCGCCTGGCGGCTCTCAGGGGAGCTGCCCCTCGTTGGAGGCAGGAGAAGCCGCGTTTGGAGCTCCCTGATCCCGAAGGCAGCGGGGCGGGGAGCGCTGCCGGCAGCGCCGGGAGCAGCCCGCGCTCGGACCCGCGCCCGCTCGGTGCCCGCGGCCGGGTGCGCTCGTGGGCACACGGAGGGACCGAGGGACGGACAGGCGGCCGCTCGGGCTGCCGGAGCACCGGGGCTACGGGCAAGCACCGCTGCCGCCGTTCTCCGGGCCCCGGCAGCGCCCCGGCCCCGCATGCGGGGCGGCACCGGCACCGGGACCGGATCTGGGGGGGCACGGCCCGCACGGGCCCGCGCTGCAGCGCGCTCCGTGTCCGCCAGAGGGCGCCCGGCGGGGTCCCGGGCCCGGTACCGATACCGATCCGGTACCGATACCGATCCGGGCCCGATACCGATCCAGTACCGATATCGATCCGGTACCGATCCCACTACCGATCCGGGCCCCATACCGATCCGGTACCGATCCCACTACCGATACCGATCCCAGTACCGATACCGATCCGGTACCGATACCGATCCGGGCCCGATGCTGCCTCGATCCTCTCGACGGTGGAGAGGCGGCGCGGCCCGGGAACCGCCCGGCAGACCCCGGCAGGACCCGAACGCCCCATCCCGGCTCCGGTTGTGAGCTCCATCACCCGCTTTCGGGCAGCCTCGTCCCGGCATCGTGCCAGGAAGGGGCAACGAGTCCCGGCGGGGCCTTGCCCAGTCCTCAGCCCTGTCTCAGCCCCAGTCCGGCCGAGACCCGCGACCGCCCGCCGGGGGAGAGGCAGCAGCGCCCCGCGAGCGGGCACGGGCAGCGCTCGGTCTCGCAGCCCGGCCCCGGTGCGGGGGAGAGGCGGCACCGCTCGGGGCCCCCGGCAGGCCCCAGCGGCGCTCGGCCCCCCACCCCGATGGCGGCCCCGCCGCAGCGCCCCGTGCCCGGTGCGGTCCCCCAGGTCAGCCCCCGCCAGGGCCGGCCCCGCCGCCCCGGAGCGCGCTCTCGTCCTGTGTCTCCCCGCGCCGCCGGGGCAGAGCCCGGCCCGGCTCCCCCGGCCGTGCCCGGGGCCCTGCGGAGGCAGCGGGGCCGGGAGGAGCCGCTCCGCGGGGGCTCCACCGGCACCTGCCCCTCCTGGCTCGCCGCCTGCTGCGGTTTTCCCATGCCCGCTGCCTGCTTCTTGGAACAGGTGAGAGCTGTCCGAGCGCTGCGCGCGTCCCCGGGAGCCAGGGAGCTGCAAAGCCTCCAGAGGCACCGAGCTGGCCCACGAGAGCTGAGGGGCACGGAGGTGGCTCCCCGTGCGCGGGGCACAATCCCGGAATAAAACCATTCGGATTGGGAAAGACCCCCGAGATTGATCCCGGTCAGCTCCTGACCCTTCCTTCTCCCCTTAGCTTGGTGGTTGAGTTCCAGTTCCCTCAGCGGTACCAACCACGGGGCTGTGCACATCCCGAAAGCAGCCGCAGCCCAGCGCTCCCCCGAGGCGCCTTCGCCTCCAAGAGCTGCCCCGGGAGAGCCCGGGCTGGCACGGTGTGCAGCAGGGATGCAGGGATCCCGGGAGAGCCCGGGCTGGCACGGTGTGCAGCAGGGATCCCGGGAGAGCCCGGGCTGGCACGGTGTGCAGCAGGGATCCCAGGAGAGCTGGGGCTGGCACGGTGTGCAGCAGGGATGCAGGGATCCCAGTGGGCACACAGCTGTGGGCACTCCTAGCGCTGCCGCAGCCAGAGACGCTCCCATCCACGGCTGCCGTTTCCCTGCGCCCTCCAGTGGTTATTCCTGGCCAAAGACACGTTCAGAAAGGCAAGCAGATCATGGCAAGTTTCAGCCCAGAAAGCAGAGGCTTTATGGAGAAGCCCAGGCGCACTGGCCTCATCCTGGCTGTGCGCAGGCGACAGGAGGTGGACAGAGATGCTGTGCCACCCCCAGGACCTTCTGGCCGCTCTCCACATCCAACCACTCCCCCAGGTATCCCAAAATATCCTTCAGTAGGTGCAACACCAGGGTGTCAGGGAGCCCCAAACTCATTCTGGGATCTCAATTCAATCAGACAAGACTTGGCAGATAATGAGGGAAAACAGACATGCACTCTCCCATAAATGCATAAAGTTACTTTATTTTCAGTATACATTTATTTAATTTTGAAAAATATAAATGCTAAAATATCTCATCATCTTCATCTTTTGATTCCATAAAAGTCACAATAGAAAGCTTCATAAAACTGTAAAATACTATAATGTTATAAGGAATTTCATTTTTTATATTATTGGAAAAAAAAAAATCACTTTAATAATGTTTGAAATGTTTTCTGCTTTTCTCCTTTTAGTTCCACCATCCGATCCACTTCACTTCATCCCAAGTCCTTGCTCTCTCCTCCAAAGACAACAGGGACTTGGGAGAATTAAAAACAAGAACAAAAGTATCTGAAAGTGCGACTTGATTCCGATGGAGACGGGAAGGGGCAGCGGGCTGGCTGTGCCCACCGCGGGCTGGGAGCTGGCATTTGCTGGGCAGGGTCACGTCTGACGGCCGCCCCTCGTCCCGAGGGCTTTGGGTCATTCTCCACACTTATTCCCTGAAGAGCCCCCCCAGGATTTTCTGCCAAAACACCTAAATTGGATTGCAAGGAGGTTCCAGTTGTTCTCCGAGGCGTGTGGCCCGCAGAGAGCCCTTCCCTGTCCCTGCAGCTCTTCCCTGCCACCGGAGGCGCGTGTTCCTCAGGCAAAGCCAGCCCTTTGTCCCTCAGCACACCACAGAAAGCACAACACGAGGAGAGAGAAAGATCTGGAACAGCGGTCAGGACACTTCAAGGGTATTTAACACGGTTCAGAAGGGGAGGCCTGATTTTTGGGGAGACAGGTCACCAGGCAGCAGCAGATGGAAGCTGTGCCCATGGAACCGACCGGGACAGCCCCTGGTGGCACCTCTCCTCTGGGATTGCTGCACAGCACGGGCTGGGCAGGACGGGCAGCAATCCCACAGCAGCTCCTGGGCACTCCAGCCTGTGTCCCCTGGGTGTTCTCCGAGGGATGGAGAGCACTGGCCACAGCTGGCATCGCTCTTCCCAAGTTGCCTGTGCTCCGGCAGCAGAAGGATCCCAGAGCTGCTCCTCTTCAGGCCTTTCCCAAGTCTCCCCAGCATTTTCAGAGCAGGTTTCAGCTGGGCTCCTGGGATACCCAGCACAGATTCCATGGAAACTGAAGGGGAGACCCCTCGAGGGCGAGCAGGGCTGTAGGGAGGCGGTGGCTCCTGCGTGGGAGCAGATGCTAAAATTTGGCATTTAAGGTCTCAGCACCATCAGAAAATCCTCTTGACTTCACCAACCCAGACTTTGGTTTCACAAGGACCAAGTGGCAGCATGTGCCCATCCTCTGTGACGGGATTGTCTCCATCAGGGAATTCGCCTCGAGAGCTGGGGTACTTCTTCTTCTTCTTCTGTTTTCTATTTTTGGACGAAGCTTTTAGTGTGTTCCCCGTGTCCTGGTGAAGCCCAAACGTGCCTGCAGATGCACATTCCAGCATGAACATGCTACAGAGAGAAAAACCTCTCTCCTGATGGGATGTCCACCCCAAAATCCTGGGATGCCCGTGCCTGGCCTGCTTAGCCTTGCTGCTCTGCCGGGTGTGGGGCCAAGGTTTAGGGTAAGCTCTGTAGGTGGGATGCAGGAGGATGGGGGTGTCTGTGAATCCCAGGGTCAGGACGGACATCCCAGCAGGCCACCTTCATCTTCCTCCTGGAGCACTGTGCCCGAGGCACACCTGGGGTCTTCACACCGGTGCTCCAAGAAAGTCGTGGAGGGATCCCAGGTCAGAAATCAGCAACAGGGATATAACCAGCACCTGTCCATACAGACTCTTCGTTTAAGTTTCTTTCACAGCAGGGACTGCTCATGACAAAAACTCCAAAAGCCAACTCAACCCTAAGAAGAACAGATGCTTCGGAGCAGGAGGTGTTACTTGAACTGATCCAGCCCTATGCCACGTCCTGGAGATTGTGGTGTGATGTCGTGGGTTTCTTTTTTGTAAAAATCACATTATATATGGTACAATACATTTTTTACAGAAAGCCTGGCATCTAGAAATAAGAGGTAGAACTACTCATAACTATATGTTTCCTGCTGCAGGAAAAAAATTCATTTTTCTTTACAGTAATTAAAAAAAGGTTAAAAAAATTGTCAAAAAAAAAAAAAAAAAAAAAGTCGTAGGTTAGGCCCCCATAATTTAAACAAAATAATCTAGGAAAATAACACTCTTCCATGTACCTGACGGATTAAGTCCATTAAAGTGTTTCTTTAAAAAAAATTGCATAGGAAAGGGACATTTCCAAACATGCTACAGCGATGGCAACGGTCTGTCTGTGCCGGGAGTGAAGTACCTTCTCTTCTATCTACAGGTGAGAGCACGTGAGGGTTAGCAGCACGTTCCAGCAGGTATCTGGGAGCAGCCAAGGAGCAGCCTGGAGCTCAGCTCTGTCCTGCCAGGCAGGGCTGACAGCAGCCAGTGCCTCTGGTGCTCCCACAGGGACATTCCCAGTCCCGGGCAGGGACATTCCCAGTCCCGGGCAGCCCAGCACGGAGGGGCGGCGGGGGCTCGGTTACCTTGGCCGGGGGGAGCAGGGAGCTTCTGAACATTTGGCTAGTGACAGAATGGATTCGTAAAAGATCAGACAGACAGACAAATTACAAAGTAGTTTCTGTTCCCTTGCTCCTCCAGAAATAACCATTGTCTTCAGGCTCAAGTTCTATTCTAATTTGAGGCACAACTTTTACTGGAGTTCGTGGAGGGCTGCAAAGGAGAAGACAGACAAGGTCAGAGCAGCACAAATGCTGGGCTTTGGGAATATACAGCCAGGTTTAAGGTCAGGCCCACACACAGATAATCTGAATGAGCTGGTCTGAACACTGCTTGGACACTTCCAGGGTGCTCCACCCCAGGCTGTGCCACTGGAATAATCCGGGCATCGCCGCTGGGATGAATTTCAGTGCCTGTCTAACACCTGCAAGCACAGACACATCTCTGGCATTTCAGAGGGATAAACCTGCCTTGCTCCACACCACAGTCCTGGTGCTGGGAGGTCCAAGCTGGCCCCAAGGGGCTGGACTCTCAGCAATTATTACTTGCTGCAGTTTGAGATTATTCTTTGCTAAAGATTATTCTGTATTTTCCACCACAGATATGGAAAAATGGATTATTTCCCCTTGGCAACAACCCTCTGGGCTCCTCCCAGTGCCCCCACGTGTTTCTCCTGGTCTGATTCCCAATGCAGTCCTCATGCAGCAGCCAGTGGAGGCCAGGTCTCCCAGGCCAGTGGAGCCTCCAGGTCTCCCAGGTTCTCCACTGCCCATCCCAAGCGCTGCCAGGGGCTGGAGTAACTATGGAATCACCTTGGGAAGGAGCCACCCAGGTGGGGAAGGTGGCTGTGTTCCTTGGGGAGCAGAGGTGCATTTGTGGGTGCTTACCTTGGCATGGCGTGTGGTTGAAGGAAGGGAATTGTATCAGCACGACGTGTGGCGTTCGAGGAATGTTGGTGACTTTTCTCCTGGGGGAAGAAAGCCTCGGTGTCACTGCTGCCTCCAGCCCTGCCTCTGCTCCTCCAACCCACAGCCATGGGCCAAGCTCTCTTCCTGCCAGCTGCCAGATGGATTGAGCATTCCCTCCTCTGCAGGAAAAACCCCCGGGGTGCCACCAGCCCTGTCAGGCCTGACACTTACCTGGCACCTGCCCTGGCACAGCCCAGCTCCCTGGGAGAAACTTCTCTCTCCTGACCCTAGGGAGGCATCTTCTCTGGGAATAAAGCCCTATTCCTGCTCTTGCTGCAGCACAGCCAGTGGTAGGGGTGCTGTCAGGAATGTGCTCTGGATCACAGAGTTACCTTCAAGCACAATCCCACAGTGCTGCTGCATTCCAGCTTGGTTTGGGTTTTGTTATTCCAGTGGCCTGATATGTTTTAATTTTTATTTTGCATTGGTTTTAATTAGAAGCCAGCAAATAAAATACTGGGTTACAAAAATGTATAAATAGACAAACCAACCACAGCTCAGCCCACGGCTGATTTTCTCTGTTCCATCTCCAAGGGCATCCCAAAAATCAGGCTGATGGCACAAGCACCTTTCCCTTAACTATTTTAGCCCTTAGGATGTTGGAAAAAAAGGCATCTGATCCTAAAATCCTGAGTAACAATATTTAGGTTGCAGTTTGTTTTTGGTATCAGGAATGTATAAAACCATGAAATGAGGAGGATATGAGGTTGCCTGTGGCTGATTTTGGATGACATGCTGACATCAGCAAAACACTGAGGATATCCAAACAGCCAAGGAAATGCCTCCTTTCCAATGGTTTTATTTTATAATCCCAGTCTCTGGGTGTTTCTGCATCTAAAAGCTCCAGGGTAAGGTTTACCACTCCCTGAGGTCTCTGTATGCTACCAAAAGGAAAGGAACCTGGCTCCCAGCTCCTAGGACCTATGGATAATTTAAGGATCTCAAGATCTGGGGTCTAGGTCCTGCTCCTAGAAGCACTAGCCAGGCAGCAGCACTAATTTATTTGGTTTGTACTTCTCCCCTCCCACCTCAGAAGAAAAGGGCATATGACACCCTTAGTATGTTAAAAAGCCACCCCAAAGGCAAAACCACCAAGGTCAGCTGTGATTCCTCACTTAAAAGAGGAAAATGTAAAGTGGGAATGACTGAAAATAAAGATTAAATTCAACAATTACAGCTATTAACATCAGAAATGAAAACCTAAAAGAAGAGCACAAGCACCTAAGAAGGGAAATATGTTAATGGCCAACTGATCTCTGCCTGTGCAGCTTAATGACACAAATAAGTAATTACTCTGTTAAATGCTGATTTTTGCAACTGCTTGGCACCTAAGGGAACAAACAGTGACAGGACAGAGCTGCAAATCCAGAACACCAGTGGAAAAAAAAAATAAATCCCACTATCAGAAGGTTAACACCAAGGGGGAGAGGGAGAAGGAGAGGAAGAGAGAGTGGGTGGCCAGGAGACCTGTCAGGAGCTGGAGAAAAGCACTTAAACTGGAGGCACCAGAAGGAACAACACTGATTTTGTAAGCAGCAAAGGGGAAAAAAAAAAAAGCTCACAAAAGCAAAATCTGTCATAAAGCAGGGGCCTGGAAATTAAAAAGGAGAGGGGAAAGAAAAAAACCAAGAGAATACTTCTGAAGTAAAAGGAAAGATTAATTTTTTTTTTAAAAATCACTCTAAATATACAGAGATATATTTTGGTAGTGCAAGTCAGAGTCAAGCAGGCATGCAAGAGCTTAGTTCTACTCACTGTCAGCAGGTTTGCTATCACTTAGGAAAGGCTCCTGCTCCATGATGTCCATTGGTATTTTAATACTTGGGACTTTTTCTGAGTAGGGGCAGTCAGACTGTGAAAGAAATGTGTAAAAGGTCTTAGAATATTCCCACTGCTCTCTCTCTCATCATCTCCCACACATTAAAATTATCCTTCACATAGTTCTGTAGGTAAAAAAAAAGAGAAGAGAAAAGCATCCTCCAGCTTAGCTGCAAAATGGACTGATTCCACTTGTTCCCCACTGCATCCCACTTCCCTTCATTACCTTCACATTCCAAAAATAAAACAGAAAAGAGCCATCTTGTGGCACTGTAAATTGCAATACATCTCCTCCTTGCCCACCCCACCGCTCAGAAGACACCAGCCCATTGTGCCTGGAGTCAGCTGCAGGAAACAGAGATGGAAAATGCATTTGTGGGCAGACACAGCAGGGCCCTGGCTGCTGGGAAAGCTCCTCCAAACCCTTTTATCCTGCTGGGATTCTTGTAAAAGCCCCTGCTTGTTCCCTACTGCTCTACAGAGAGCAGATATGACATGGCAGGGGCTCCTCACATCAGACTGGCTCAGCAAGTGCAGTCAAACCCAGTTCCAGTTACACCTCTGGTTCCTCAATTCCAGAGCCCCTGGAAGAATTCTGCAAGCCTGGCCCAGCCAGAGAAGCAGCAGGCAGCTCAGGAGGGGGCACAGGGAAAAGCTGGGGTCCCCCAGAGCTGGGGCACCACCAGCTTTCACACCCCTGCCTTCCATCACCCACCTGCTTATTAGGAGGGGCTGGGAATTGTCTGGCTTCTTGAAAAACAAAGGGAACTCCTCATAGCCAAGGAAAGGCTGTTTCTGCCTAACTTGGCAGAGGCAGGAAGGTGGGATTTGCCAGAAATGTTGGGACATCTTTGTTCCTGAAGAGAAGCAGACCCACAACACCAGGGTGGAGGGAGGAGACCTTCCAGTCAGGGCAGGAAAACACTAGGGAGGCCAGAGACTGGCTCTCCCTGGATTGTTATTCTTATTTTTCATTTATTTTTTAACATAACTGATATCCAGTGTTTCCTCAGGACTATTTTCATGAGGCTGAGGGACAAGCATAACTCAAATAAAGCACAAGCAACACCCAGCAATTCCCTTGGCTGAACTTGGATCCATGCATTGCCCCCCAGATCCCACAGGATTAACTCTGGGGTGGATATTTCTGGAAGGGAAAGTGTGAAAATAATCCAACCAGTAGTGCCCAGTGCTGTATGTTCAGGAAGCTGGTAAAAAGCAAGTGCTGAAAAAAACCAGCAGGAGTTAAGAACCAATGTTTTGCATAAAATGTCTTAGCCATTAGATTAATTACTGTACCTGGAATTCAGGAAAAGCCTGGGAAGAGAGGAAATATCTTAAAACATACAGGAGAGAGGGAAGCCATGGCTTGGGATGGATTCACAGCAGCCAGGAGGAGGGGATGGAGCCAAACCTTTGCTGATTACTCAGCAGGGCCTCTTTACTCTCATCTGGGTTTGCCCAGAGGTGCTAAAGACAACCCTGGGAGCTGGAGCAGGGCAGGGCAGATGTTGGCTGAACTCAAAGGCAATCCTCCCAGCTGTTTTTCCTGCTGTGCTAAAATGAGATTCTCTTCCAGCTCCAGGAGACCTTCCCTCTCCCTACAGCCCATGAAGCAAGGCCCTTCTTCATGGACATGAGCAGAAGAAGTGACACCATGCCTAGAACTCACCACGGAGCGTGTTTAGCACTTCAACATCAATTTAAAGGAGTTGAGTTAGACCTGAGCAGGAGAACACTGAAAGGCACCAAGACTACATTTCTTCTTCTTATGGATACAGGAGGAAAGAGAACAGTCAAAGGCACATGAGTCTGCTCTAGCCAGGTCACTTTTCACTATTTAGGGCATGCTGCCACCTGAGGGAGGACCAGAGTGTACTGCAGAGGGCAGGGATGCTCAGGAAACATGTAGGTGGTGAGTTTTACCATCACCAAGCAGTTTCTCCTGCAGTATCACAAATCACATCTATTTTGTGCTTTCCAAAAGAGCCATTACAGAAATGTTTTAAAAGGACAACCAGTAGGACCAGAGCTGCTGGTGAAAAGCATCCTCCTCCTAAAATGTAAGAGACAACGAAGGGGAGAAAGGAGTAGGAGGGAAGCAGGGTGACAAGAGGCATTCTAGCAAGGGGCATGACATCTCAGCAGGTACCTGGTGCTCTTGGGAAGTGTGACTTCACCCCTAGCAATGCACCCACCACCCACCACAGGCTGGAAAAGGGAAGGCAGTGTAGGAATTAAGTTTCCTTTGGGACCCATGTGTTGCAGCTCCACAAGTGGCTGGCAAACTTCCAGCCTCAGCACTGGGCAGGGCTGTGGGGGGGGTTAGCTACCTAGGAAGGAGCAATGTGACAATTGAGGAAGCTCCTTACATCGTCATTGTCACTGTCCATGCTGCCCTTCTTCTTTTTCTTCTTCTTCTCATCCTCTTTCTTCTTCTTGTCCTTTTCTGGAATGACGTCGTCAAGAAAGCTTAAGTCATGCTGGGAAAAGAGGTAGTCCATGGCTTTTCTGACTGCCACCAGGGCCAAGATCTGCAAAGGCAGAGAGGGATTCCCAGTCACATTTTACCTTTCACTTGGCACACTGCATTCCTCTCAGCTCTGCTTCTAAGCACACACTCTTGAATTCTGGCTGTAAATGAACACACAAAGAAGGTGGTGAACACCTGGGACATCTCTGTCAGCTTAAGAGGTTGTGCTGTGACTGCCCCATGTCAGAAAAAAAAATCAGAAGCAGGGGATACTCCTGTATATAATACTGCTGTATTGGGAAATAAATAGCAAAACAAATGAGCACTTTAATTTACTTTTGGAGGCAGGTTCACAGGACAGCCTGAGTAATAAAACCCAGACTTATTTCTCACCACTTGCCCAGCTGAACTCTTAAGAAATCACACAAGTGGCAGTCCACGCCCCCAGAGTTTGCAGAATAAAGTTTACTGGGGTTGTGGCAGCAGGAAACTGGAGGAAAAGCTTGTTCTGTGCAAGGCTGCAACGAAAGCACTGGGAAAAAAGGAAGGGATGTGTCTGAAACGGGCGCTTACACCGATGCTGGGTCTGACAGCCCCAGCACAGATCCCACACAGGCTTTGCCCGTGGGTACAGCAACAGGCTGGAAGCTGTAACCTATTCCCAACAGGCTGCCTTTCAGGACAACTTTGTGCCAGGCAATCACGATCCACAGCACAAACAATTCCCAGGAAAAGGTCTCGAGCTCTGACTTGCGTAAGCTACGACACGGTTTCGGACTCCTCAGGGGTGGAGAGACAGGAGGGACGCCACGCAGACACCCTGACATCCCACTATGAATTACTGTGCTGAAAATGCCTTTCCTCCAAATAAACAGGGACTTGGCCCCGGCTGAACCCTCACAACACTGAAGTTTGCAGTTTTGTGCTCCTGAGTGCAGGAAATGGAGCTTTTGCCATCCTATCCAGCTCCATGGAAGCTGTGGCTGCGCCTTCCCTGAGTCTGCACCATTCCAACAAACTCTGTCAGCCTCGGGTTTCACTCAGATTCTAACAGGGACAAAGAGATTTCAGATTCAGCTTCCAGCATCAGTGCAACACAGCCATGGAGTTGATGGAATGCCACATCAGTGGGAATTACTGATTTTTAACATCTTTCACAGGAGCATGTGTCTCAGCAACAAAAAATTTGGAGGATTTTTTAACTGGCATCATGGTTTCTCATTGCACCATCTTGTTCTTTACCTGGGTTCTGCCCTCCCTCCTCCTCTCCCTTAAATAAGCACTGCAGCTCCTACCTGCCCCCACAACTCAGATTTTACTTGCCCATAAACCTGAAATTAGGTGACCTGGGCCCAAGATTTATTCAGGAGTTTCCTAAAGCTTTGCCTTTGCACAAGTCAGACCCATCTCCAAGCCAGAGTGCCAGGCTGTGTCTATAGACCTAGTAATAATATGAATAGTCACCCACAGATGGTAAACAACATTAGTGTCTTTTCACTTGAGCCTAAGGAAAAGAGACATTTCCTTTCCCTCCCTTGGGCACCTCTTAGCACTAAGCCTCCTTCTTGGCTTTGTCAATTTGTGCTGTTTAAAAGCCAAGGAGACATTTTGCACCTGGTAGCTAGCATGGACTAAACCAGAAAAACTCTGCCCCTCTCCTTGGTTCAAGCAGCTCAAGGAGAAACCACAGCAAATCTAACCTCGGCAGCCAGAAATGGTCAACACTAACTACACCTTCCTGGGAAAAAATTCACTTTCCAGGCTGTTTTCCTCCAGAGGATTTAAGGAAAGGCAGCCACGGCCACACTGAGCCCGAGCAGTCCTACATGAGTGCCGTGAGAGGAGCTGTGAGGCAGGGGCTGGCCAGGGAGAGCCTGGATTTACACACTCACAGGAGTGTAGGAGCAGGGAAGGAGCAGCCTGTGGGGAAAGGGAGGGCTGTGAAGGACAGCATCACCTACCATGACAGGGAATATGATAGCAGCCACGGTGGATTTGAGGATCCAGAGGAGGGCCAGGCACACCACCTGCAGGAAGGTGAAGAGGTGGACCCTGCGCAGCGGGACGTGGCGCAGGTAGATGAAGTCAGGCTGGTGTTTTAGAGGCATCAAGAGCAGCTTCAGCCGATCCATGAACTGGGAAAGAAAACGGAGAAATGCTGAAATGAAACCCAGGATGCACAAAAATGAGAGAAAACAAGAAATGAATGCCCAAACCAGGGTCAGCACCACACTCTGGGACATTTTTGCTGTCCTCCCCCTTCCCTGCTCCTACCAAGGAAAGACATTCAGCCTTTAGGAACAATGCTTTTGTTTTCCCCAAATAAATCAGGAGCAGAGGGCAACAGAGGCGAGGGCAGACAGAAAACAGAAGAGCACCTCGCTGAAGAGCAAGGAAGACGGGCAGCTTTCCCAGCAGTGCCCCTCTGCCCTGTGCCGGACCGCATGGACTTGGAGTTCAACCAAAATGGGGATTTCTCACTGAGTAAAAAACACTGTTGATCCCAGTCCTCCCACCACCTGGGTCTGGAGCAGGGGAAATCCCCTCCAGGAGAGGCAGCCCGGGGCAGCAGGACAATCCCCTCGCTGTCCCCTGCCCGAGCACGGGCTCACTGCCCGCTGCGGGAGCAGACAGAACCTGCCCCAGTGAATGGAACTGGAGCTGATTTCCAGAATGCCTGAGGGAATTCTGGGGCTCACAGAACAGGCAGTTCCTTCCCCTCAGGGCACAACCCGGCACCAAAAAGAAAGGCCACAATTAACAGGGTGCCAGAAAGCAACAAAACCACTTCCAGCAACCTTGGGCCAGCTACAGGCGCTGGGCATGAGAATGGCTCCTTATGTAAGATTTCCTCAATGACAAAGAGAGGGGAGTGGCTTCCCCTCCCTGGAGAACAATGTCCCTGCTCCTTAGCATGGAGGAACAACCCTGCTGCCATACATCATCCTCCTTCCCTGCCTTCAGTCTGCAGCACAGCACCCGAAATACCCTGGGAGTGAGCCTGAGCTGGGCAGAAGCCTGTACAATCCTGGAATGGTTTGGGTTGGAAGGGATCCTATTGTTCCACCCCCTTCCACCAGACCAGGCTGCGCCAAGCCCCATCCTGGTTGCCAGAGATGGACCCAGGTCCTCACAAAGCACCCCTGGCACCGCCAGTGCCCACCTGGCCACTGTCCCGGACACAGGACAGCTTGTGACAAAGTTTGCCAACAGCTGCCACCCTTCGTGGGCTTCCTGGGAAGGAAGAGGAGGCAGCGAAGGAGAAGGGTGAAGCTGGAGGGCTGTGGAAGGAGCCCTGTGCTGGCTGAGGACTCACCTGCACGCCGTTGAGGGATGCCACTCCCATGTAGAGGAAGACACCGTAGAGCACGGGCATGGGAATGAACTGCGGGACAAGAAGAGCGGGAGAGCCCAGGTGAGAACCTCCCCGGACACCACGCACCATTAACACACGGTGGGACAACATTCCCAGCCTGTCAGCAACCCAAACTGCACCCACGGGTGGATGACATGGAGGAACAAAGCCATGGAAGTAATAAAGCAAAATAGAGCTGAATAAACAAGAAATCCTCCTGCTGTGCTCTGAGGGACGCAAGGACATTTGTGCAACCACGCTCTCCCACTTCACCAGGACTTGGACATCTTGTCAAGAAGCAGAGGGAATGATGCCAGTCACTCAGCAAGTCAAGGAACAGCTGGGCAAATGTGCTCCAGTGAGCTTCAAACTGCCTTCCACCTCGGACTGGGGGTGTGACTGGAAGCAGAAGGCAGAGAAGAAGAAAAGGCAGCACGATCCTGTAGTTTGTGGTACACCCTGTTTTCCCAGGTAACAGGTGACAGAACAAGAGGAAAATAACTCAGGTTGTGCCAGGGGAAGTTTAGGTAGGACATTAGGAAAACACATTCATAGAAGGGGTTGTCAAGCTCTGGCACAGGCTTTCCAGGGCAGTGCTGGAGTTGCCATCTCTGCAGGAATTTAAAAGCAGCACTTGGGGACATGGTTTAGTGGTGACTTTGGCAGTGCTGGTGGAACTGGGTGATCTTAGAGAGCTTTTCCAATTGAAACAATCCTGTGATTCCATGTCCAACCCAGCTCAGTAAGCCATGCAAGTCCCTGCAGAAAGGATGTTCTTTGCAGTCCCACCTGAGCAACAAGAGTCATGCCAACCCAATCTCTGCCTGCTCCGTTTCTCACACATATTAATCCAGAATTACTCCCAAATACAGGACTGACTTCCCTTCTTTGCCACGATGTGTCCTTTCAAACACCACTTTCTGCTCCCTCCAAGTGCTGAGTGCTGTCCCCACCTCCACATGGGGCACATCTCCCTTTGGGAGTGAGGAAGGTGCAGGGGAGCAGCAGACAGGCTCCCTGGAATGAGTCTCTGTCCCTCACCAGAGAGGTGGGCAGCCAGCCTGGCATGACAGGAACAGGGATGTTTGGAACAAACCAGAGGCAGGGGCTGAATACCAGCCTCTGTGGGATTTCCTGGTGCCCAGGGAGGGTGGAATGAGCTCCAAAGGATAGTCCCTAGTGCAGTGCCAGGGGACTGCCACTGAATGGCAGCCACGGCCAGGGCATGGCACCCACTGCTCCCAGCACTCCTGCTGGGAACCCTCCCCTTCCAAGCCCTGCCCTGAGCTCTTCAGAGAGGCAAACAACACGGCAGCTATCCAGGGTCTCAGCACATTCCCCATCACCTTGCTGACCGCTTCCAGCAGGTATTTCCCTGGGGGCACATGAGCACCAAAGGCACCCAGCCATATGCTAGCCAAATGAAATGCCTGCATTTCTCCTTCCTTCCTGAGTCTGACTGCCTGTCCCCTCCTGCGAGCTCCTGAACTGCTAACTCATCCTTCTCTTGGATTTATTTGCTCCCTCGAGGGAGCCACGCTGCTATTTCCCATCTGAAGGTAAATGCTTTTTCTGCAGCGTGGGCTCTGCCAACACCTCTGCTGTGACAGGGATGGGGACCTGGCAGGGGCTTCACAGAGCTGTGGGTGACCATGGGATTCAAAGCCCTCCCTGGACCTGAGGGATGACCCACGACACAGTGCAGCAAGCAAGAGTGGAGCTTGCCAGCTCATTTTCACTGCTCTCCTCTCCTGCCCTTCTGTTTATTTCCATGGGGTTTTTTTAAAGTAAGAAAAATGTGTGAATATTATTTCAGCATTCCATGATGATGAGTCCTGCAGATCATCCCGAGGTGAAACCTCAGTACCTCACTTAGCCTGAGGAGCAGCAAGCAGTGCTGTCATTTTGGAAGGCTTTCTCTTGGCAGAGCATTCCCTAACGATGGGGGTGCTGGCTTTGGCTCTCCAAGCAAAGTTGGTTGCTGCAAGCCAACAGGACTGAAACTGTATTTATAGGAAAGTGCCTGTCACCCTCCTAGCAGGGCCAAGGATGTTTCTGTGGAGATCTGCCTTGCCTGAGCAGAAACAACACCACCATCCAAAACCAGCACAGCCATCGCAAAGCCCTCAGCAAACAAAGCCGGGATTATTCCGTGGATTGCCTGGTTTATTAAATTCGGGATTGTCAGCGTTCAATTTGCCCCTGGCAGGAGAAGACTGAAATGTTCTGCAATGCATTTAGCAGAGCAGCTCTCTCCAGCAGGACCCTGCCACTGGAATTTGCTAAAGGTCCTGATATCCTGCCAGGTCCCTCCCGCTGGCACGTGGGCCAGCAGCATGCTGGCTTATCCTCAGGCGTCCTCCAGCCAGGATCTTCCCCACACATTGTCTTAGGGGAAGCACAGACAAATAATTAATGACTACAGCAATAACAGGGGAAGTAACAGACCCCAGTGGAAGAGAGGAAGAGGGATCTTGCAGGGAAAGCTCACATAAACTAAAAAACAACAGGTTTTCCAGTTTCCTTCTACAAGCTGATGATCCATTTCTCCATGGCTACACGCCACCAAATCTCTGGTCTTGGAAAACAGCAACCTACCTAGATGCCATGGTCCATCAGCAGCACATCTATCCAGAGCCTTGGCTAAACTTACAGGAAAAAAGGGTTCAGGAGACGAAGAAATGCCATTTAATTGTACTGCTTCCTCCAGAAACATGTTTTCCATGCTCTGAGCTTTATCCAGAATATGTTTTCCATAAAGAAAAGGCCCAGTAGAGGTATAAAAGAAATCATAAAAGGGAACTTAACTTTATGCAAACATGGAGAAATAACCTTAAAATGAAAAAGACCACAGTGCCCAAGAACCTGAGCCCTGACCTTGGTGACTGTTCTAGCACACTACAACCATGCTGGTGTTTCCTTCAGAAGTTTTGGATTTAAGCCTTCAAAGAACTGTGAACAGTCCTTACCTTCAGGATGGGAGCCATGAAGACAGACACCCCGGTCAGGATGAAAACGATGACACCAGTGACTCTCTGCTCCCTGAAACAACAGCACTGAGTCAGGTCCACAAGCACTGAACACCAAGAGGAATCCTCAAAACTCATTTTTGCAGCCACATTTTCCATCCAACAGCCTCAGGCAGGTGGCTGGATCCTGAGCCACATCTCTGTTTTAACCCAGAGAGTTTTGTTACGCCGTTTGGGGATCAGCACAGCGCTGCAGCTGAGCCTGGGGCTCACATTCAACCACCACAAACGGAGTGGCAGCTCCCAGCTCCCTGCCCAGGGTGTGCAGAAGGCACTAAATCATCAGCTCTCCACGCTGAGATCAGTAACACAGCATCAGCCCTGCCCAGAGCACCCCGACAGCCGGGTAAACCATTCAGACCTTCCTGGGGTGCTCAGCACGTGCCTTCAGCAGCACCCACAGGGCTTCCCACACCCAAAAATACCTCTGCCAGTAATGTTTCAGAAGGCTGAAAGTCAGGCTATAAAATTTCCACTTAGTTACCTAAATAAGCAGCCTGATTTCCAGGAGTAATCCCATTGGAAGCACTTCAGACCACTCAATGAAGGCATCCAAACACATGAAAAAGATGCTTCATTAAGGAGAGCTGCTTGCACTAGGTATGACAGTTTTGTATGTTTGATTTGTTAAGGAATTTGCTTAATTTCCCTGGATAGAGAAGTCTTCAGGAAACTTATTTCCTTTAACACAGGAACACTGTGTCTGATGTGGCCAAGTAAACTTTGGAGGAGCCACGTGGGGGCTCGCCCAAGGAACTGCCTTTGGAAACAGGGAGAAGGCAGCACAAAATTCTTTGTACAAAAGGATTTTGCAGGCAAACGAGGTAATTGGGCCTTCCTGGTCGGACATACCTCACTCCCAAAAACTTGGGCTGCTCTCCAGGGGCTGAGGTCTCTGTCTCCATCTTCAGGCTGTCGATGTGAGCGATGGAGATGACGGTGGCAGCCACGTACCAGGGCAGCCCCATAAAGGAGCAGACAATCATCAGAATGGCCACCCAGAACAAATCCAGATGATATCCAGCACCTTTCTGTGGAGGGAGACAAACAACCTTCAGCTTAATTATTCCAAATGCCTCCAGAGCAGGGCAGAGGCACACCAGACAGGCAGGATTTCCTTCTGCAGCATCCTGGCCAACAGAGCCAAACACCAGAAATACATGGGAAGAGCACAAGGAAGCATCTCCCTTGGGACACAACCCCAGGCTCCTTCAGGAGTGCAACAAGAACAGCTGAAGCCTCATTCCCTACCCAAAGGAGAAAGCTGCCCTTGTTCTTGACTCCTTTTCAAACACCTCTGATTCTCTATTTTTAAAATCTTTTAATGAAATATAACAGGAATTCCAGCAGCCAAGAGAAGAAGAGAAGAAACAAAAGAGCCACCAATAAAAGGGATCTTCAGAAAAACAGCGGACAAACCTCTAAGGTTTGCTATTTTAAAACAGATTAACCTTTTTAAAATCCCATTCAGTTTGATTTTATTGGAAAAAACAAATGATCCAGGCCTGGGATGACCCAGGAGGGAGGGCAATCCAGCTTCTCTTGAATAGTCCTCACTGTTTTCCTGACACGTGCACTGCTTACCTTGGCTGGCCGGTGCCACCGGGATGGGCACCCAGCAATACCCTGCCAACACTCCAGCAAGGGATGAGCAGAAAAAAACACCTTTTTTCCTACAGCAGATCTTGTGTATAGAAGTGTTTTTTGGTGTGGAACAACAAGATGGGGCTTGTGAACCCTCAATTCCACAAAATACCATATTCACATCATAAACAAAGGAAGCAGGGAATACATTTTTTTACATCAAACAGTACTTTGCTGGAGTGTTTATAATTTGTTACTAAAAATGCACAGCCAGTGCTGACAGCAAAACCACATTCAGTGGTTCATAAGCTGCAGAGATGAGGGGCCCCTTCCTCATGAGGGAAGAACAGTGAATATTTTCTTACAGTGTTGAAGAAAATGCTATGTCTGCTTGGTTAGGTGCAAGAGACAGACCTAAAACTGCTCAGCTATCTCTGAGGAACACGAGGGCCCAGTATTGAGTTTATCTGCCCAGATCCAGGTGGCAAACAAGGATGTTCTGAGGGGTTGTTTTTAAACCATCAGCCAGCAGCCATCACTGTGCCTAAGAAACCTTTCCCATTCCCTGGTATTTCAACTCTCTCCTCCAGGCTGGGCTCAGGATGGCCTTAAGTTACACATGACTTGTCCCATGTTTACAGTGACCACATGAACTGAAACATCCTCCTCTTTTCCAAGCAGAAGCTCCCATCCCATTTCCTACAGCTCTCCCCATAACTGATGAAGCAGGTGTCTAAATAATGACCCACCACTGCTGGTGTTTTGAGGGAGCCATTACTCCCTCAAGTGGGTCAGACCACTTGAAACATGCCCTGTTAGCAGGAAGGGAGAGTCTTCTTTCACAGGAATTTAATATTTTTCAATAGAACTGACCATGCAGGGGAATGGAAAAAAACCCTACAGGCATGAAAAACTGCATATCACTGGTCTGGAAAGTTTGTTTTAGAAACATGCCTACATCTCAGGCTGTTACATATCAGCTCTTCTTTAAATAACATCCAACTGATTTGGTATGTCCCAAATCTCTCCAGCTTATTGCTGGTATTTGACAGCACCACAAAGCCACTTTTCCTGCTTAGAAACAGCAGCCAGTGCTAGGGACCAGGCTCATGTCCATGTGGGAGGAAGGTGCAGGAGGAAAAGCCCCTGCATGTGCCCACCCACCTTGAGCTTGTGCTCCTTCCTGTTGACGATGACAGCGGTGATCTGCTGGTCCATGAAGATGAGGATGGTCACCAGCAGGGCAGGGATGGCTGCTGCCAGGTACACCCACCACGGGTTCCCTCCAAAAGGTGGGATAAACCAACCCCTCTCGGGACTGGTTGGCTTTGAAGGGCAAGGGAAAGAAAGCTTGTGTTAGAGGCACAGTACAGGGGTGATGACATCCCAAAGGCACGTTTGCTTCCAGCAGTGGAGCTCCAGGGAGACGCTTCAGGCTGGTGGCAATTTCATCCTTCCCATTAACACCAATCAAAGGCTCCCAGTATGGAGGCAGAATTTAGGAGATAAACCAGCCAATTAAAATGATGCTAACAAAAAGCATCCTTAACCCTAAGCCTCTGAGTAAAAAGGCTCTTTCCAGACTGCTGACTACATTCCCATTCCGAGGGCAAGCCACTCCCTACAGGGCACGTGCGAGGGAAAAAGAACCTCTTCCAAAAGCCAGCAAACAAGCTGACAACAACATACCTTGAATTCACTTGGCACAATTAGTTTTGGTGTGTCCACACCGACCAGGGCATCTATTCCACAGAAGATCAAAATGGACAGGATAATGGCAAAGTCACTGATGAGCTTCCGGGCCTGCAAGAGACGCGGTACCACAGCCACAGGAGTTAGCACCGCGGAACACCGTGTCACCCACGCTTCAGTGCCCACAGCACAAACCCTGCCAAGGCCAGCTCATCATTTCTTCTCCCACCATCATGTCCAATGTCATCTGCCACACATGCCTTGGTACTTTACTGTGTTCTCTGAAAGCCTAAATGGAAGCACGGAAACAACACAAACTTCCACAAATGAGATACTCTGAAGGACTGCCAGAGATTACATTGTTTGCTGTTCAAGTAATAAGTCAAACTAGGCAGACAGAACAACAAACCAGGCTTCTCAGCTAAATCCCTAAGACTGCAGCTCTCCTGAAGTCACTGGAATACAACAACTTGGAGCTGCCACTGATCAGACCCCAGAATTTAACCAGACAGGAGCCACTGTGCTGGCACTGTGAGAGCTCTCCAGAGCTGCTGTTCCTTCCAGGTTTCCTGCGTTCACATGGTTACAGATAAATTGAGCTGCATTCCAGCCTGGATGGAATTTGTTTCCTTTCTATTAAAAATAAGAGAGGTTCAATTGTAACACAGAGGAACAGTAAACATCCATGCAGGATAAATCCCTGTGTGTCAGAATGCCAGGAACGGGGCAGTCTCAGAGAAATGGCTCTGGCTCGCACGCCTGGCCCGGGAGCCTCACCGGGGGACAAAACAAGCAGATGCACCCAAGGCATGCCTGAAAGCTTGGAAGGGTTGCCTTCAGCACCTTTAGAACCCCTGCCACATTACCCAAACAGGTTACAGCTCCTCTTGGCTCTTCTGCTGCCTTACCTGTGCTCTCCAGAACCACTGGGAGCAATCCCAGGCATACCTCTGATAACCAGATCCAAGGAAGACTCTGAGCTGTGCCCTCACAAAGACTGATGGGGTGACAGGAGATACTTACAGTGGTGGGAAAGTAGCGACTGGTCTTGAATTTCTTCAGGGCCATGGAGCAGGTGTAAGTGCCGAAGAAGAGGATGAAAGACATGAGGGTGATGTCAGGGACATAGTCACAGTTGTTGCCCACAAGCTGACCCCCGTACTTCAAGCAGTCCTTGGCTGTCAGAGCTGCCCAGTCAATGGTGGTGTTGGCCTGCAGGAAAAAAGGGAACGTTTCCATAAGGCACACTCAGCCCATGGTGGGACAGGAATGGTGACAGAGTATCTGAGAGGAACAGGGAGCATCATGCAGAAGTTAAAATCATGGAAGCGCAGAATGGTTTGGGTTTTGAGACCATTTTCCTGCTGTGTTTGACTAAAAGGGGTTGTTACTCTGTGTCTCAACTTCCTTCCCCCACACATGGATGTGATCCCTCTAGCTCCACTTCTTTCTCCTCACTATCCAGAGCTGGCCAGCAGACTGGCACCACAAGATCTGCAGGCCATGTGATCCCTGCCTTCCCAAGGGGAACTCACCAGCTCAGAGGAGGGAGAGACCAGCTCATAGTCTGACAGCACCATTGTCCTGTTAAGTAATGAGCTATTAACTGCAAAAGAAAAGAAAAAAGGCAATATGGTGAGCAGGATGCAGGAAACAGTTAGGAAGGAGAGCCAATTCCAATTATTAAATAATTTCTTGACTCTGTCAAGCTGTTTGCCACCTCTTTGCTCCTGAAAAGTGAGTCACAAGTGTTTTAGAGAGACTCAAAAGCCTCAATCATCAATCACTCACACAACAGAAAAAAAAAAGGTTAAGTGAAAACATAACCCAAACCCAGCTGGGATTACATTTGGAGTTGATGGTAAAAAAAACCCAGGAAAAACCAGACAGACAATATAATATTTCATAGCTTTCCAATATTTTCCTAATGATTTCTGGATTAAATTAAATACCCACAGAGCACTCCTAATGATTAATTTCAAATGCAAGCACAACGCCAAAGATATCCAGAAAAGCAGAATGCGATTCAGTGTCCAGCATAAACACAGTTTTGAGTTAAAAGAAAGGAAAAGGAGAGCAAGAAATTGAAATCAACAGGATGGGGATAATTTCTTTGAAAGAAGGAGCAGCATTCCCCGTGGCTTCTGAAGCATTAGGAATCAGGAATTTGAAATTTCATTTAGAAATGCAATCCTTCCTGCAAATGGGCTCGTGGCCCCTGTCCTCATGGCTGACTGAGGTTTTGCATAAATAAACTTTTTCCACTTGGATGTCTGAAGGGCCACAAGTGGAGACTTCCAGTTTGGCACTGACCATTCCCATCGTCCTAGTTTCAAAAAGGAACTCACTCTGCCATTCCAGTGGGAGGCAGAACCAGACTGGCACCCAGCCCCAGCTCCCAATACCCGTGAGGAGCAGCCAGCAGCTTTTCCTGTTGGACAGGTGTGCCAGATAACCTGCAGTTTACTCTGGGCACACATCAGGTTTCTTACTCACTCCCATTGTTTGTGGGATCCTAGGAGTGGTCCCCGCTTCCCTAATGGTACAGCCAGCGTCTCCCAGTTTGGATTTGGGTTTTGTCACCCTTTGTTCCCAGAGCCATAGGTACACTGGCTCTATCAGCTGTGCAGCCCACGCTCCAGAGATAGGCTGCCCTGGGGATACACTTCCCTTCTTGGAAGGGAAGGAATTGTTTGTGCTTTCCCTCTCATCCGTGCAGCCAGGAGGTGGGAACCACCCATGTTTGGGAAACACCTTGAATAAATCCAGTTCCTGAGACAGGAGTGGCCTGAGCTCCATGGCAGCGACCTGGCCACCACTGCTGCCCCTTCATGGAATTCTCAGAGGAATGCCATTTGGAACAGCGATGCAAAAACAGCTTCTCCACTGGACATGATGTTCTCTGGAGGAGTTCCAGCAAGGCCAGCTGTTCTGTGACATGTAGGTGTAGAAGAGGGGATTACAGGTGACTTTGCCCCTGAGAAGTCACAGTTGTGCTAATTGCCAAAGAAGAGGAACAGCCTTGCCCTTAATGGGTCACAGCTGTGACTAATAAAGACAAGTGGCACAAAAGGGGTGGGTCGGCCGCTCAGGGGCGGCCCTTGAAGAGGAGGACCCCTGAGGAAGAAGGAATAACCCTCAAGAACTAGAGGATGGATGAAATAAGGAAGGTTAGGTTTGCAAGGGGGCTGCAGTGAGAGCCTGCTGCTGGAGCCTACAGTCATATTCCAGCAGGAACAGCCTGCAGAGTCTGCAAACTAATACCAGCAGTCACAGTCGAGCAGGAATTAGCTGCAGAGTCTGCCAGGGAAGCCAACAGCAGGAGCTTGCTGTAGTCAGTCAGGATGGCTCAGCTGTAGAGAAGAATCAACTGGGACCCTTTTCAAGTCTGTGTCTTGGCTCATTTCTACCCATAAGGAGACGTCTGCTGCAACACTGACATTCCACTTGGGATGAAATTTACCCCTCAGCTTCCTGAGACTAAGACAGGATATCTGAAGGCAACTGATAAAGAAGGAATAATCTACCTATTATCTGGGCTGCAGCACAAGGGAAAAGGAGAGCAAAGGCCACCTCCTATCTATCCACAAACTGGAGAGGTACTGAACACTCCCTTACCTGGATCTAGTGGTTTACAGGCACAAGAGTAATGAGTGATATAGTCCACCTTGAACTGGGAGTTGATGGGATAATGATCTGCCAGCTTGATCATCTTCTTGAAAGCATCATAAATGAAGATGAAGCTGATCAGGGAGGAAAATCCTTCTTCGGTGAAGCGGGTGAAGTACTTGACCAGGAAGCTGGCGTCGGTGGCCACGAGAATGAGACACTGGAAGGCTGACCAGAGGCCGATCCAGAGGCGGAACTCCAGGTAGTCAAAGTCATTGTCCCTGCAACAAGACAAGGGTGGCAAGAAAGGAAAACATTGCGTTAGATACGATCAGGAAAGCAGATGTTACATGGAATGAAGCTGAGTCAGGGAAAGTTGAATCACAGAGTTACCAGGCTGGAAGTGACCTTCAAGATCATCGAGTCCAGCCCAGCCCCAACACCTCAGCTAGACCCTGGCACCCAGTGCCACATCCAGGCTTTGTTTAACACATACAGGGATGGTGCCCCGGGCAAACCATGCCAGTACTTTATCATCCTTTCTGTAAAAAACTTTCTCCTAATATCCAGCCTGTATTTCTCTTAAGAATGCAGCTTAAGATGTGTCCTCTGGTTCTGTCAGTGCTGCCTGGAGAAATTGACCAACCCCACCTGACCACAGCCACCTTCCAGAGAGTTGTACAGAGTGATAAGGTCACCTGTGAGCTCCTTTTCCTCCAGGCTAAACACCCCCAGCTCCCTCAGTCGTTCCTCTCAGGGTTTGTGTTCCAAGCCCCTCACCAGCCTCGTTGCCCTCTCTGGATGGGCTCAAGGGCCTCAACGTCCTTCCCAAACTGAGGGGCCAGAGCTGGACACAGCACTCCAGGTGTGACCCCACCAGTGCCGAGTACAGGGGCAGAATGACTCCCTGCTCCTGCTGGCCACACCATTCCTGACCCAGGCCAGGAGCCACTGGCCTTCTTGGCCACCAGGGCACACTGCTGGCGCATGTCCAGTCACTGCTGACCAGCACCCCCAGGTCCCTTTGTGCCTGGGCACTGTGCAGCCACACTGTCCCCAGCCTATGGCACTGCAGGGGGTTGTTGTGGCCAAAATGCAGGATTGGGCACTTGGACTTACTAAACTTCATCTTACTGCCCATCCATCCAACTGCTCCAGGTCTCTCTGCAGAGCCCTCCTACCTTCCAACAGATTGATTGAGATTGGACATAAAGGAAAGATCTTCTCCCAGAGTGTGGCTGGACATTGGAACAATCTCACCAGGGAAGCAGTCATGGCACCTAACCTGCTGGAGTTCAAAGAGCATCTGGACAGTGCTCTTAGTCACATGGATTAGTTTTAGGCAGCCTTGCCAGGTGCAGAGAGCTGGACTTGCTGATTCTTATGGGTCCTTTCCAACCTGGGATATTCTGTGACAAACCCTGGTGTTGGGAACAGCAGGGGATGGAGAATCATGCACCCAGCTGCATCGTTCCCACCTGGGAATGATGGCCTCCCTTGTTTGCTGCCTGAGGCTGAGGTGCTGTGCTGGCACAGAGTCCAAAGGTGGGCTTTTAGGAGTGAAAAAGTGCTAAAAGGGAGCACGGAGCAGATGAGGAAGGCCACTGCCTGTGGGGAAGGAAGCAAGAGGTGGTGGGACTGGCAGGCTCAGCCAGCTGTAATTCTCTGGAAGCCAGAAGCCCTGACCTGGAAGAGGGCAAGGAGCAAGTAAGAAACAAAGTGATTTAGAAAAAGAGAAGGGGAAAAAATAAAAACACAAGACCTGAGTGACAACTCTGAAATACCCGGGGTCAGTGCCCGAGGGGGCAGGAGGTGCCATTCATCTGAAGGCAGCTGGCAGAAACCCAGACTCCACACCACTGAAGAACTCCAGAAGTGTTAAACTGTATTATTTTTTACTCCTCAAGTTGCTGCAGCGCTCCTGAAGCTTACAGAGCAGGGGGGAAAGCGCCGCGTCCTGCAGGATTGGCGCCGGTGCCAGCGGCACGGAGCACCCGAGGCCAGACACACAGCTGGGTGTTCTGCAAGGTGTTCTCAGACCTTTCCAGACACACACACACACAGTCACACTTCTCATCAGTCAGGGGATGGGAGGTTTTTCTGCTTTTGCTCCTAGCAGGGAACAGCTTGTTGTGAAAATGAGCAATCACAAATGTATTACTGAAAAATCCAAGTACTCAGTTCCAATTTCCTTGTGAGAAAGGCCTCCTTTGAACAGTCCTGCCTTTCTGCTCTGGCAGGTTGTTAGGACAATGGCTTTTACAACTGCCACCTTCTCCCTCCCAAAACAGTACAAAGTGCTTTTCCATCCTGCTTTTTTCCTGCTGCATGCTGCACCTGGGCTTTGACACGCCTGCCAGACACCAACAGGTGCAGTGTGTCCATTCCTGACTCCATTCATTGATTCCAGATGAGGGAAGAAAAGAAAGGTGCCTCCCTCTTGGCTCCTCTGTGTAACTCACCCTTTGGTAGCTTCCAGTTTCCCTCCCTGGGATAATCTAACTTTCCAGCCATTTTTTCTAGCTCCCATCCCTCCCTACATGTAGGAACACAAGTCCTGCCATGCTGAGAACACAGACTATAAGGGATTTGGGGTGTATTTTGTGTAACCTAAGATTATCTCCTTGCAAAACACGAGCCAAGGGTCACCAGCCCCATGGATGAAATCATCCATGACATTTCTGATTCCTTTGGTGATTCCAGTGTATCTTCCTGGTGTTGCAGATGTGGGAATGGTAAATGAGCACACCTAACAAAATGGCTCCCTTTAGCTCTGGGTGTCAGCTGTCAACAATGTGGAGGAAGCAGAACTTCTTCACACCAGTTAAATGGAAAAAAATACAGGACATTTCCTTTAAAAGCAGGAAAGCTCCCCCGTGGAATTCTGGGGCCTGTTTCTACCACAGACACTTCTGCTTTCATAAACAGTAGTGATTATTTCAAGCCACTACTGGACACATCTTTGGCAACCTTGAGACCCATGGGATTCTGTTAGCGAAGAGTGGAATTCATTTCCTTGCTCCTATGGGAGTCAGAGAAGCAGTGACTGCGGGAGAAGCAGCACACTGCAACCAGAGCAAATTCCTCACGGAGCACTGAAGTGGCCAGGGTTGGGTTTTTTTCCAGGAAACCCCACAGAGACAGGCAGCACACACGGGGACACGCGTGCCGGGCAAATCCCCGATGCGATTGCGCCGGATCTCTGGAAGAACGGGACGTTCCATGTTGTGCACTAAATCCCCTCCTTCCCCAGCAGCAGGCAGCTCATTCCCTGGCCGGGGTTTGCTTCGTGTGGGACATTCCTGCCCTCCGCCCTCTCCCGCCACGGGTACTCACTTGCTGAAATTGAAGAGGAGCCGCTCAAAGACCAGGACGGGTCCGGTGCTGCTCAGAATGGTGAGGGGCTGGCCAGCCAAAAGGCAAAACACAGCACCGGTGACAGCGGTGCCCAGGAAGCTCTCCAGCACGCCCTGGGGACACAGGACAGCAGTCACCCTCTCTGAAGGAGCCCTTCTGTCACGGCTGCGTGCTGCACGTCCCTGTGACCAAGGGGACAGCATCCTCTGACCAAGGTGCTGGTCCCACACAAGCCAGAGTTACTGGGGATAACCACGTGTGCTGAGTGATTACTGGCACAGGCTGATCCTCCCTTCCAGCCACGCTGCAGGGATGGGGCTGCAGCTCTCCTGCAAGCACTGAAATCCAGTTTTGTATCTCTCCTCCTTTAGAAGACACGAGTTAGTGTTTGCACTGAGGAAAGCACAGGCTGGCCGCCTCTGGGGGACTTGTAAGGATGAGCCAAATAATCCCAGGGCAAGGAACAGCTTCACAGCTGATCCCCTCCACTCCTCTTGTATTACTCACGGAGAGGGCCCTCGTGGCCAGAGCATCTGGAATCTCTTTTCCCTGCGTTCTTCCATGTGTCTATAGCTAAGAATAGTGTCTTTTCTTGGAAACAGAAAACTCAGGAGCGAGCTGTGAAGGCAGTGCTGGCTGGGGCAGCTCCCAGGACAGGGAGCAGGGATGGGCCATGCTCAGTGCCTGCCCCAGCAACAGCCACATCACCGTTTACAACAAACAAGACACACAAACTGTGATACAGCAGCCTCAAAAACACTGCTCTCTGGGGGTTTTTTGTTACTTGATAGTAAATATTCTTGAGACTTCTGGCCACAGTGAAGTGATTCTCAATTCGAACTGGATTTGGAATCAGGTTACACTTCCTCCTGTAATGTAAAGACTGCACCTTGTGCAGAGCACACAGGCTTTGCTCTGCTACCCCAGGACAGTCCAGTGCTGCTCACTGGTGGGACCTGGAGGCCTTTCCTCTCCTGACTTCCATGAGTCTCAGAAAAGCAAACTGTACAGGAGGGAGGGGAGCTGGGCACTGCACAGGCTGCTGGATCTTACTCCAGCCTGCAATTTATCACAGGAGAGTGCAGGGTTCCAGATATGTGCCCTCATTTCCTACGTCTGACTTAATTAAACCTGCATAAATTAATAATTCAGTCATTATCATTATAAGCTTGACTATAGCTAGGAGATTTGACTGAACTGAATATATCTAAATAGAAGCTCCTGGTTTCCCTATTATTCCACTCATTTCCTACGTCTGACTTAATTAAACCTGCATAAATTAATAATTCAGTCATTATCATTATGAGCTTGATTATTGCTAGGAGATTTGACTGAACTGGACTGGCTGAACTGAATATATCTAAATACAACCTCCTGGTTTCCCTATTATTCCACTAACACAAAGCACCTACAGCACTGTTAATAGGGAATCCCTTCTCTTTGACCTGAGCTAAGCCATTGATCCAGTCTGTCCATGGATATGTAGCTGATTCTCAGCTTGTGCCCTCCCACTACTACAAAATTCATCTTTCTAAAGACCTGACATTTCTCTTCTGTGTCACTCATTTTCCTAATTATTTTGGGATTTTCTTTTCACCAGAGAGGCCAAAGCCCACGTGTTGTAGGAATCAGGCAGAGGATTCAGAGTTAGCACACTGAATTGGACTGAAATGGTACAACTGAGAGCAGATCAGAGGAGCTTCTCTCCGCAGAAGGAGCAAAGACCTTCTCTGTCTCTTGGGCCTGCTTTTATTCACCATTTATGGAACTGCTGTACCAGCTGTCAAAGGACAGCCACAGCAGCAGAGAAAGCAGTGAAAACACAGAACACCTCCATTATTGCACCAAGAATTCCAGCTTGGCCAGTGCCCAAACATTGCTCTGACCGGAGAGCAAAAGGCAAATGCTGGATTTGTTGGTTCTGAAAGCTCTTACCCACCTGCATGTTCTCCGTAGCATCTCCAAGCAATCCCCCAAAAGTGATGGCATTGGTGACAGTGGCCAGGTAGATGAAGAGGATGGCTGAGAGGGCCTGGATGTTTAAAGCGTCGTAGAAGTCGCTGGCGAAGAACGGCGCTTTCCTCTTGATGTCTTTGATCAAACCCCCGCAGAATCTGCAGGGACAAGCAAGAGGAGACTCATGCAAGATGTTTCACAGGGCAAGTCATCACACTAAGCCATCAGAGACACTGATAGCAATGAAGTATTGTCTCAAAGGAGTGAGAGCACCACGTTACAAACAGTCTTGTCACGGCTGTGGCGGTCCAGGGGTCTCAGAGAGAATGTTTTGAATATCTCAAATATGTGACCCAGATGGAAAGGGACAAATTTCAGGACTACAAGCCACGCTTCTGCTGAAACAGACCATCACAGTTTGTATTTCAGGAAGCTCATCTGTTGGTTTTTTTTCCCCCAAATATATTAGTTGATGTAATAACATAGATTAGCTCTGGTCTAAGTCCCTGCCTGAATTTCTCCACATAGCAGACACCATGGCTGGGCGAGCCAAACAATCTGCTGCATGGAAAAATGCTTCCAATTAACAACCAGCAAAAGAACTAGAAGTAAAAACATAAGGGAAATACTCTTGGATGACAAAAGAGCTCACTTGCAGACATCCCTTTCTGTATGATCACAGACAAGACAGCACTTAAATCTGATAAACTCCACGTGGCACTGACACTGGCAGCACGAAAAATGTTTGTTCAGCCTCTTGTTCCCCTGCTCACAGCTGCCCACCTCTGCCAGGACTGCACAGACACTGTGGCAGACAAGCAGATGCCACCTTGTGACCCCCAATCAGGACACTCCGCTGCCTTGTACACACCAGTGCTGTGTGAAGACTTTTGGACTTTTCTCCTAGAATTTAGACTAGAACTAGAACTGAAAAAGAAGATTCAGAGTGGGAGGGAGGGCACACAGAGCCACCATGAAGCCCTGTGCACTGATCTTGAAACACTCAGCTCGCTGTTTTGTGGCCACCTGAGCTGTACACCCACTCCAGTGGACTTTTATGTGGCACAAAGCAGAGTAATAAAGCAGAGAGCAGGGCCTGGGGCACTGTTACCCTCTCTGTTTCTATCCCATAAAAGCCTTCAGCTGTGCAACCCAACTGCACCACTAACGTCCACAAAAGAGAACATCTCTGCTTTTGGCTAAGGCGCCCCTTCAGCAATCCAAAGGGATTAACTGAGGCTTGTAGCTGCCATGTTTAAGTCCCCTGTGGTTCACCTGACTTCACAGGCTCCCAACAGGCAGCACCTGCCTGGCCCTTCTGTCCTGTTTAATGGCTCTTTATAATTTACTGAGTGTCTGATCCTCGACGCCCTGCTGGAGCCGCATGTTCCGAGCCCTTCAGCCAGCCTCGCTCCGGGCACAAAAAGCCGCCAGGACACATTCTGGGGTCACACCTCAGCCTGCACAGGCAGTCCACTGGGGTGGCACGTTTTGGCGAGGGAGGCCTTGCGGGGGTGTCACCGACCTGCCCGTGCGCTGCAGCTCCTCGCAGTCGCCGTGGCCGCCGCCGCCGTGGCCGCCGTCGTGGGGCGTGTCGCCGTTCATCTGCACGTTCTCCCCGCCCGAGTACATGTTCTTCCTAGGCGAGGACACAGCACGTCACCAGGACCAAGAGGAACCCTGAAGAGCCCGGCTAACTAACAGCTGTCATGGTGTGCCTACAACATCACCTCAAAAGGTACAGACTTCCAGGAACATCCTCCCTCCTGCCGCTAAGGAAGGCCTGAAAATATCTCCAGGACTTTGTAAATAGTGGCAGCCAGGTGTAGGTCACTCCACACACCTGGTACAACCAGAACACAGGCCCACTGTCCTTGGCCACAGAGCCCCTCTCCTGCTATTACCTCTTATCTGAAGAAGGGAGAGACTTGGGGGGCTCTATCCTAATGGCTGGATCCCATTCCCCAGGGGGGAGCACAATGACTTCATCCAGAAATTCATCGATGCCTGCGATCAGGTCCTGACGGTCCTTGGCTTTATAGGCAATGTCATGGAATACCTGCAAGGAAAAGAGACTCCCTGTGGGAAAGGTTTGCATTTTCTCTGGCCCTGACTCCACAAGCAGCTGCTGAGTTCTACAAAATCAACTTAATTCCTTCTCAGAAACCTCTGAGGAAGTATCAGGACATGTGGCACAAGGAAGTGTGACCCTCAGAAAGCCCCTTCCTTTGGCTGGATAACAACAGAGATTCTTTCCTTTTAGGCATTTATCTAATTTTAAGCAAACCATCTATTTCTAACTTTTAAAAATGTTAGTAAAGCAATCATCTATATCTTTAGTGCAAAAAAGTTTTCCTCTACATAAGGACTTTCAATTACACTTGGAGAAGATGCTTTGACAAAGCCACCTACTTCAGTCTATCAAACCCAGATTCATTTCCAACCCTGTGACACAGAACTGATGACAGTAGATACTCAAAATCAACATCATAAACTGGTTTTAGTGAAAGGCCTGGTATTAATCACGAAGAACAAATGAGAAAAGGAGGGGCGGGAAAAAAGCATTAATGCTGAATTTTATAGGAATCTTCTGCACTGTGTGGAGAGCAGGTGGATCAGTGCATGTGACAGAAGAGCTGGTGGCAGGAAGGGACTCTGGGGCCGTGGGGAGCAGACCACTGAGTGCCAGAAGGCAGGAGAGCTGGGGCAGCTGAGCTGTGATCAAGGAGCTGTAGGAGAGCGAGCAATGCCAAGAAGCAAAGCTGATGCGAACGAGCCCCGGCACACAGGGCTCCAGGGACGCTGGAAAAGGGAGCTGTAAGGGAATCCTGAAAGCCCAGCTGCTCCTGGTTTACACATCAACACTGCCAGTGCCCGGGACACGGTGCCACACGTGGCACCACGTGGGGGAAACAGGCTGTGGGCAGCACCTGGTATCCCTGGCTGTGGGATACTGGGATGGCAGAACGGGACACAAGGAATCGACTCAACACAACGGACTAAATCCAACCATTAATTCACAGCTGATATGAAAAAGTGATCACTAGCAGGAAAATAAACAATGGCAGACAAACCCCTCCTGGAGTCACGCTTTTCAAAATCACAAAGCCAGAGGCAGTAATTATGTCAACGGATGGAATGAGGAGGTAACGTGGATATTTCAGCTTTAAGTGAATGCTCCTTCCTGTTGAGCAGGCTGGAGGGAAGGACACTGTTGCTTGGGAGAACCACTTCCCACTGGAGATGCCCAGACACCTACCTCATCCGACATCAGCGTGGCAATGGCTCGGCCGATCTCATGATAGGACTTGGCTTTGCCCTTTGGTCCCAGCAGAATGAAGAGAAATCTGACAAAACCAAGAGATTGTTCCCATTTAGGATGCAAAAATCAAGTGCTTATTACTTATACAACACCTGGACAGAAATTTGACCTGGAAAACTGTGGTGCTTGTTAGAGATCTGGAGGCTGCCAGTGGCCTCAAGCTACCTTTGGAGCAGAGCTCCCTGTGGCCCACGAAAACCTGTCCACCTCCATGGGGATCTGTTTCACAGAATCACAGAACAGTTTGTGTTGGAAAGAACCCTAATGGCTATCTACACCTCTACTAGCCAGGTTCCTCCAAGCCCTGTCCAACCTGGCCTTGGACACTTCATTTTTCACATGATCTCTTTGGGCAGCAACGACATCCAAGTCACTGCTGAAGAGTCTGAAAAACACCATGATATGAAACCTTTGGAAGTGCAAACATACAGATGAAATAACCTCACCAGAAGCACCAATCCCCTTCCAAGGGCTGGATTAAATATTATTTTATCTCCTAACTCAAATACGATGAGGTACTAAGTTAAATGGCTTATGAGGAGTATTATATCCAAACAAGTACTTTCTGTTCAAAAGAATCTAGAGTCCTAAAAGAAAAAAGCAGCAATTTAGTAGGACAGGATCCATAAATACATATTGATTGGCATTACTACATAACACCTCTTAATCGAGTCCTTCACGAGGCGTGTGAGTGTTTTACTTGAGGTTCACAGGGAGGTGAGTAAGCCACACACACCCAGGTCATGTCCTCTGCTCTCCTCCCACCTCCTGGAACTTTCCCTGCTTTACCAGTTCTTATAAAATAACACTCAAGAAAAATTGTTCCTCAGCCAAGTCTTTCCAAACTCCAGGATGCAAATTGGCTAAGCATATTAATATTAAAAAAAAGAGGTTAGTAACTTCAGGAGTTGCTGCTTGGCATTCTCCTGGTTTTCCAGGAGACTTCCATAACCCTCTTCTGCAATAATCCCAACCAGCTGGCTCTTTTACAGCACAGAGCAGCAGCACCTGAATGCTCCTGCACTACTAAAACACTCCTGAAAACACAAGACTGTGGCATTTTCCACATTCTTTGTCCTAATTCAGCTCAGAACTGCCTTCAGTGGGTAGAACAAGATCTTTTCACGGGCCAGACAATACAAAGACAAAAACATGAATGCATTTTAGTGGCTGTAGCATTAACATGCAGACAGGACTCCGTTTCTTCATGCCCAATCTTTACTGTATAGGTCATATTTTACAGGATTACCAGAAGGCACTGTGTCAGATCTTATTGGTGGACAATACATTCACACTTAGTTTACTGGTTAGTACATGGTGTTTTGCATGTCTATCAAACTCTGTATTTATAGTTAGTTTACATGTTTTTTCTACTGATTCCCACGAGACTGATTTTACTGTTTATGCAAGTGCTCGTTGTTTTTCACCTCAGAATAAGTTGTTGTGTTAACAAACCTTTCATACCTAAGATTGTTTTTGCATGGGAACTTAGCTGCACTAATTAGAAGAAATGTCAGGCTAGCTATAAATTTAGCAGAGCAGTCCTTTCTAATTCTTCTACCTGTCTACAAGTAGCCTGAACTAGAATATGTGTGCACAGATTTATAATAATTTCATTATGAACATTTACAGCTACAAAAGCCCTCACTCCATGCTGTGCCGTACTCCTCCTCTTCCTCTGCTGAAGGCCACTTGAGAACTCCTCCCTGCTGCACACAACACATGCTGAGTTATCCATTGCCCATTTCTGACACCTACCACTGCTAATAATGCTCCAGGGCAGGGAATGGGAGGTTCCACCAAGCTCAAAGTCTCTCAGAAGCAGTAACAAAATCCAATGTTTCTCTCAATGCTTTGCTAGAGCAGCAACTCCATAAGGGCTGAAGGCACCTGACCAAAGGAATCTCAGCCAAGTCCTGGAGGAAAAGTGCCTTTGCAAGGAAAAGCCTCTGTCGGGAGGCCAGGGAGCAGCAGACTCCTGGATCTGCCCCTCGCTTCCCAAGCACCTTGGGCAAGTTACCTCAGTTCATTTGAGACCTGCAGACACCGGCCTTTCCCAGCCTGCACACCAGACTGTGCAAGTCTGTGCAGCTTATCTCCAAAAAACATCTTCTCCTGGCTCATTGCTCATCTTTCTCCCCATCTCCACTGCATTAAACAGCAGCCTTGAACGCAGGATTGTGCATTGCTCTGATGAAAATACAAAGCCATTCCCAAGCCATGTTGCCAGCTCAGGGCTTCCCCAAATGAGGAGTCCCAAGTACCGTGGGATTAAGTCTGACACAACAACACCAAAGGCCTTAAAGGTTTTTTTAATCTGACCAGTAAAAAGAAAACTCAGGAAAGGCTAGGATATCCCACTGACACAGGGAAGGGTTACATTGGATATTAGGAGGAAATTGTTCCCTGTGAGGGTGCTGAGGCCCTGGCACAGGCTGTCCACAGAAGTTGTGGCTGCGCCTGGATCCCTGGAAGTGTCCAAGACCAGGGTGGACAGGGTCTGGAGCAACCTGGGATAGTGTAAGGCGTCCCTGCCATGGCAGGGGGCTGGAATGGGACGGGCTTTGAGTTCCCTTTCCTTCCAACCCAAACCATTCCCTGCTTCTCTATCTGCAGCTCCTTAAGAGCATGAAAACATTCACCCCAGACATCGGGGCTGGACTAGCCCTGAGCCAAAACCTGCATGTTTAACCCCCTCCTGCCCTACACAAAACCAGCGAGAGAGGCACCCAGGTCACACTGGCAGTGCTGCAGCCCACAGTACCCAACATTGGCTCCCATGGTGTTGGAAACCCCGGGAGGCCGTGCAGCGCCCACCTGGGACCGTGTGGCACCCACAGTTTTCCCAGGGAATCGACAATTGAACCAAATAAAAGGAGAGGACCCACAGGACAGCAGGCTGGACATGCCAGGGGCTCCAGCATCCTGCAGTCTGCGGGCTTTAAGTGCAGGCCCAGGGCAGGAATGCCGGCGGCACCGCAGATGTTCCACCACAGCTCCTCCTGGCCCTCAGGGGATTTCCTTGATTGAATTTCCTAGGATGCAGCCATGGCAAATGGCTCTTCATCACTCATGAAAGCCACCTAATGAGCCTTCCTGCTTTGATTAGGGCCAGCATTTGCTTTGGAGAACAGCAAATGGATAATACTATTTCCTGGGAAAAGTGCCGGCACGGAAGGACATAGTGCCTTGGTTATTGCTACTGAGTCATGAGGCTGTCCAGCAATCCTGGATCTAACTTCCTGGCTCCCACCACCACAGCAAACAACACCTCATCTTACAACTGCTGAAAAGAACTTGGAGACAGCTTTAAAAAACAGTCCGTGGGGTGAGAGTTGGAAGCTGAAGCACTGAAGCACACAGAGGCCAGGGATGTTGAGGAATGAATAACCTGCTACAGAATCAAGGCACATCTGGGTCCCCACACTCCCACCTGAATACCCAGCTGTGGATGTGGCTGTCAGAAAGCACTTGATGGAACTCCAAGAAACACAAGCACTGCTACTAGCACTGAAGAGCAAAGCTAGATGCTCATTTCCCTTTGTTTGGTACACAGAGAGAGGCAAGGATTCCAACAGCCATCTAACTTCCACTCCATACAAGGGCTGTGATGCTGCTGTGAATTCACACAGGGCAGCTTAGACAGGCAGGCATACTCAAGCAGTGACTTCAAATATTTAAGAACACAAGATAGATTGCTATTTCTGAGACTGAGATTAATTTGCAACATGAGTCATGATAAATAAAATATTTCTCTGACATTTTTCCTTGAGCCATTATGCATTACAAAGCAACAAGCCCCAGTAGAATTCTATGTCCAAGTTCACCTGATTTTTTTTTTGCCCCAGGAGGGTCAGAATTGAATTTTCCATTTGATCTGAGCTGAAGAGGAATAACATGTACAGCAAAAATGCGCAGAGGGAATCTGGGATCTGTACAGAAGGGGCAGGAAAAAAGCCCCAGGACATAAATTCAACACTGACAGTGCCTGTTACTGCTGAGCTGTTAAGTCAGTGTGTTTGTGCAATGGTTTACTCATAACCAAATCCAGGACCTGAAGAGGATGAAGCAGCTTCAGTGAGTTTTGTTGCTTTGCACCACCAATCCTGACGGTTCTGCGTGTCACAACACGGAGAACATCTCCTGGCCTGCTGTTTTTCCTTTGCCAGGTGGAAATGCAGGCTCCCTGCGTGGTGCCCTGCCCGGGGCTGGGTTTCCTTACCGTGTGGGAACAGGGACCTCGGTGAGAGCTCCCAGCATGACCGCCTGCTGCAGCCGCACGAAGGCAATGAAGGGGCTCTCCAGGAAATCCACCTCCCCGACCAGCACGTTGGAGGCCTCAGCGTCACGAGGCAACTTCTTCATGAATTTATTCTTCAGCTGCAGCAGTGGAAGAGGAAGGAAAAGAAAATTAAGTCACGTTGGGCGCCTTCTTCTCATCTCTGCACCTCTGTGCAGTAAGCGTGCACCCTGGGTCTGGATCCAGCCACGGAGAAATGCCATCACCAGGGAATGGGAAAAAAACCACAGCAGCAGCCACGGGGTTCTCAAACTCAGCCTCTGCGAGACGCCTTTGTTTGAACTTCAGCGGCGGCAGAATTAATTTGGAATTGAAGGCTTTTGAAAGCCCTGCCCTCAGCTGGTTCCCAATCTGCCCCCTCTGCCTGGGTGATCTCTGGAGATGCTCTGTGTGTGCCTGGCAAAGGGTGAATGGAGAGGGAGGATGTACTGCCAGGAGCAGCAGCGAGAGGGGGGCACTGAACTGGGCTGGAATCCCTAATGAGCTGCAGGAGGTGACTCGAGGAAGGAGGAAAATGGAAAAAGTCTCGAGAAAATACATGAACTGACTGAACAGGAAGAAAACTGTTGGAACTATCCTACCCCTGCACACTTCAATCAGGATTACCACCAGAAGGAACAGTAAATAAGCATCAAGGAGCACCGTGGAGGAAGTCTGGAAAAGCCCTAGCAGCTCCTCCACAGACAGTGTTTGGGAGCATGGCGGTGGCAAAAGAACAATGGGAAGATGGCAAATCCACAACAAACATTTTATTTACCTCACCAGGCTGGCCTTGTGGCTGAACAAGGATCATTCAGGAACACCAGGCTGGTCTGGACACCCAGCCCAAACCCAGGAGATACTCTGAGGCAGAACTGACCTGCAGGCTTTCCTGTGCCCACCCCGCTCCTGAGGCCAAAGGCTCCAGCCCCTTCCCCCTGCCCAGCACAGCAAACCACTGCCACTAATTTTGAAGAGCTGCCATTATTTTGGGTTTTTTTAATCTCCAAATGAGTTTTGCAGCATCACTCACCACTTTCTTAAATCATTTATCAGACAGGTAATGAGTGCAGTCAGCACTTAAAATCCATTCTGAACCATTCCCCAAAGAAGCTTTGGAAAGATCTGACTCCTCAGCAGCATGCAGGAACAAGGAAGAGATGAGGGAACTTCACTTTCCCCTGCCAAATTGCACATCATTCCACCCCAACCACTAATGTTATGTTAAAAGCCACAGGTCTCCAGCACTGCACTTGCAAAAAGGCACAGCAACCTCAGAATCCCAATTTCCTTAAAAGTACTGTAGCACTCGGATCATCAACACCACTCTGGACTGACTGGAAATGAAAGCAGCTCCTAAGTACACACTCCAAAGTAGCACTTAGGGAAGGTTAATTCCCCTGCAGCTTGAACCTGTCTCTGTCTCTCTGTTTTTCTTTATCTGCTCACACACAGGATCACCTTCCCACAGCTTATCCCTTGAACACCTGCCTCCAGGGGAACCTTGCAGACTCCAGGCTGCTCCATCACCCAAGGATGCTCTAGAGGGCCACTGTGGATATGGGGAGAAACCAGACAGGCAAAACTGCTCTCTGCATCAAGAAAAACAACAAAAGTGAAGGAAATTCCGGTTAACTAAACTTTCTGGAAGCTTTTCCTTTCCTCCAGAAGGGTGGCACTGATTGTACTGTAAAAGTCATTTCCACTGGAGCTCCGTGGAGTGGAAGCATGTCACCCAGGCTGACAGACCTCCAAATTGGGAATGTCTGCTTGCAAGTGTGGGGATGAGAGGATGTTCCAACAGGAAAAGCAGCAATCACTCCCACAATCAATCACAGGACTGCATTCCCAAGGATGGGATCCAGCCAGCGCCTCCCTGTCCATGGGTCCCCAGGAAAGGCAGGAGGGCTTCTCTAAACAAGGCCAATTTCTTTTTTAACTTCAGTGCTGGCTTTGGCACAGATCCCCTGTTGACATGGAAACTCTGGGCTGAATACACAGTGTCTACACCACAACAAATAAGAAGGGTTTTGTGCCTGCCTCTGACTGACCGTATTCATTCAGAGCCAGGCTCGTCCCACATCCAAGCCCTCTGGAAACACAGATAACACCAGGTCAGGAAACTCCCCTTATATCAACACACATTCCCTTTCTTTACGCTGTTGCATCAGCTCAGGAATAGCAGGTCCCTGGGAAAACACATTTCCTTTCATGTCCCCTTTATTTCACATGTTGAGCACTGAAGGAGTCCTGGTGGCTCAGCCACTCGGAGCTGCCAAGGACATTCTAACAGAGCACAGCCAAAGGATTTCTTGCAGGAGGAGAGACTGGAGTGGGAACAGCAGAAGGAACTTCCCCAACCTCCTATGGTCTGCTGGCACTATGGCACCAGAGGGGCTGAAAAAATATCTACCTGACTCTTTTCAGTCACTCTCCTTCACACATAAGCTGGAAAAAAAAGAGTTTAAAATGTTTTTTTTGATATTAAGATGTGGCTGCCCCATCCCTGGAAGCGTCCAAGGACAGGCTGGACAGGGGTTGGAGCAGCCTGGTCTAGTGGAAGGTGGTGGAATAGGACGATATTTAAGATCCCAGTCCATTCTGAGATTCTGGGATTCTATGAATACGGTGCTAGTGAAAAATTTGATCCAACAACTTGATGTTCAGGAGCTGGAGGAATTCCCCAGCTGTGAGAGGCCCTGGTTTTATGGACACAGCTCCAGCACCACTGGTGTACCTGGCAACAGAGAGCTGGGAGCCCAGGAGGGCAGGAAGTCCAGATGCTCATTTATTAGCTGCTATACAGAAAAGAAGAATAAATTGTCCCAAAATGCTGCTTGTCTCCCCAGCTGCAAACGCCCAGGGCATTAACTGCAGCCAACACCTCCTAAAACACGACAAATGAAGGCAGATCAAATCCCTTCTCTGCACTGCTACCTCAGGAGCAGTGCTCTGCCAAAGCAAACACAAGGAAAGGGAACACACCTCCTCTTCCCTAACTACCTTTATAAAAAGCCAAGCAAGCCCAAAGCAAGAACATGACAAAAGAGCAAAGCCCCACTCTGTGGGTCCTTGCTGAAGCTGTTTCTCATCACAGTGGTTTGGGGCTTCTGCAGGATCCTGAGCCAGCCTCTTGGCAAGCCCACTGGATCCAGCCACCATTCCCATGGCAGAGAGAGCTGGCTGGTGCAAACTCCCTGATTCAGCAGGCCTGAGGAACACCCCTGAGCCAGGCAGAGCTGTCCCTGGCAGGAGGGATGAATCTGGGAGGATTGATTCTCTGACAGATCACATCTCTGACGTGTGTGTGAAACCTGAACCTTTCAACATCCAGAGAAAAGGAGCAGGAACGCTGCAGATTAGAGGAGTATGCTGGCTATGAATTCCCTAGATTATTAGCTGCACCATTCCAAAGAGCACTAAAGGCTGCAGAACTGAATATTAAGCATGTAGGAAGACAGGAAAAATCACTGAAGGTACAAAAGTTTCTGGTCAAAGCATTTTTTCCTCTGAAACAGAGGCATGCAATCCTCTACCTGTGTAAAACCAGGGATTGATTAAGGATGCAGGAGGGATGCAGGAAGGCAGTCCTGCTCCACACAACTGCTATAAACCGACCTCACCCCTCAGAGCTCTTACACACACAGAGAAATAAATAAAACCTGGGATGTTCTGTGGCTCCAGCAGACTCCCCCCTGCCTGTATGGCCCCACGAACTGTCCAGCTTCCAGATGGGATGCACAAATAACAGCAGCCAATCTCCCTGCTGCCAAGGCAAGTGAACCTGCTCCCTTTGCAGCTCCTGTTGTGGTAACAGGATGGATTATTGCTGTGCCTGCTGTGTGACACGCTGGGTCCTGCTCCAGGAAGCTGCCAGGCACCACCACAATGCCACCAACTCAATCAAGGCAGGACTTCGAGTCGATCAGCCATGAAAACTGAGCTCCAAGGTGATGTCTCAAGGTGCAGGAGGACAAGGCTCCCACTTTGTGCAAAGTTCATCAGCAGGACAAGGGCTAATTAACTGAGAGGATTTTTGGAACTCTACACTTAGCAAGAAACACTTCTCACTACACCAAGAGCCAGGCATTGTGTACACTGGAGGTTAAAAACTTAGCCTGCTCCCAGCTGCATCTATTAACAGATTTCCCTGTTAGGGCTATCAAAACATCTATTTTTATACCCAATTCTCCACAAAAGTCCATTATCTGAGTTTCCAGAGACAGGAGGGGCAGTGGAGACTGTCTGCACTGCTGAGAGCTGCAAAGCTGCAGCAACGCTCAGCCCCAGCTTTGGGCTGGTCTAGCTTTAAAACCACAATTACAATGGGATTAAAAATATAACACAGCAGCTTGTCCAATGACAAAAAGCTATTTAACAATCCTCCTCCTTCCCCAGGTGTGGCTGTGTGTACTAAAGGAAACAGGTATTTTGGAAACACAACCAATACAGTGGTCAGTGCAAAACACGCTGCTCCCCTTCCCTTTCCGTGGAAAGGGCATTTCTTTAGGCAAATATTTATTTATTTTTAAAATATTTACTTAGTCTGAACTCACTATTTTACCTCAATGATGTTGCTGTGTCCCTTTCAGGACACACTTACAGAAGACTGTGACCAGCCATTGTTGAAGGATGGGAGTCATCCCCAACTGGCCAGCCATGCTGTGCTACCCAAACAGTTTTCCAAAGTGACTCTCATTGGCATTCAGAATCACCACGGGACTAGGGAATGCTGGAAGATGCAGACAAAAAACGAGATTCTGCGAAAGAAACAGCCGGGCTTTGAGAATAACCCACTTTTTGAACCCAGACAAAGGTTTTTTGAAACTTGCACAGAGACCTCATTCAGCCACCAGTTTTTCTAAGAGTTGGAATAAACTCACTCCTACCCCTCAGAACCGGCAGCCTTCGGAAAGGACGGAAGCACACACAAAGGCAGCCCGTATGCCACACCGCAAACATTACCCTGGGCTAAGGAAGAGGTCAAGTCCATGGAGATTTGTCACTGGAGGCCAATTTGAACTCCATTACTGATTGCATTTTGGAGCTGCTCTCCCACATCACCTGTCAGCACGGCCACCTTCCTGCTGGGATGTGCAAGGGGAGGTGGTGGCACCTTTGTTCCACCAGCTGCTGCAGTGGGGACACGTTTCCCTGAGTGCTCCTGCTCTACCCCATAGTTCCTGTGAACATTCAGCCCAGGGTGCTCCTCTGCTGACCCCTGTAACCCCTCAGCAGGAAGAGGATCCAAAATCCATCACTCCCAGGGTATTTTACCTCCTTTCCCTTGGGGATCAGCAAGATGCCATCTATGTGGTGTCACTTGCTTCAGACCTTGTAAGAGATGAACCTGCTGTTTGCAAGGGTTGGCGCTTAAAGAGTGGAGGAACCGGTCACAGGACTCAAAAATACTCACTCCTCTTCATTTTCAGGGCTAAGGTCCCTTTCCCCAGCATCCAGCTCCTCTCCAAACTCATCCCCAAGAGAAGGCTGGGCCTGGAGCTCACCTGGTCCTTCTCAGGCTTGTCCGAGATGTCGTTGAGGCTGGTGGAAGTCAGGTTTCGGTGAGCCATGGCCGGGCTGCCTGCAGGAACAACGTCAACACCAGTTAAAGCACCTGCCTGCATCCACTCAGAACACAGAGGCTCAGGCTACAGCCACCCCTTTCCCTGGGAGGCTGATGTGGGGGATTCCAGACCCTGACAAGCTGCTTTCTGTCACTTCATGTGGCACAGGGGGGTTTAAGACACTAACGCTTCGTCACCTCTGACCCACAGCAGTCCAGTGACTCCCAGGACAGCAAAAGAGTCCGAGGACTTTCCGTAATTCCTGCCTGTGGGAGAAAGGCAACGCAGCAGCACACTGCTGGCCAGCTCACCCAGGACAAACTCATCCCTCCTCAGAGTTGGGACCTTCCAGGGTGCAAATCCCAGACACTGCACACAGCAGGCAGAGGGAGGTGGCAGCTGCTGCTCCTTTGAGCAGCCCCTAATGAATGCCTCCCTCACTCCAAGCAAGCTCATTAACTAAGCTCAGGAACCTTAAGCATCTCACTGATTAAAACAACGTGTGTGCCACACTGACGGGCCAGGAGTCACCAATTCCTGACACCAGATTCTCCAGAGAGGCGAAGAAACTCTCCAGAGACACAGCAGAATAATTAAATTTAAAACAACCCAAAACACAAACAAACAACAAACCGATAGTAAACAAAGACTTCTGGGACAGATACAGGATGGGAAATCACAGTGGTCAGTATGAACAGTAAAAATTATCCTGAAATGTTCCCATCCCTTCTCATCATGTTTGCAGGAACATGAAACGCAGCACCAGGAGCTTTTATGCCACAATTTCTGACCATGAACTTCACTGGAAAGAGAGGAAATAGTAAGGGGGAAAAAAATGGCAAGGAGGAATCTCCCAACTGAGGTTGTGTTTTGAGACAAAATTTATTTGGTATTATTATAAGGAATGTCCAAGTTCTCAGTGTTCATCAGCTCCCAGCACAAACAAGCTCAATAATAATCAGCATCAGGAGCAGATAATCAAAGGAGTGGGAATAAAAAACTCCAGACTCCTCAGAGCTGGGTTTTCTTTACAACATACATGGGGATAGATTCAAAGTAGCTGTACCTACTGTGTGTTACTGCCACGTCCAGCAACATCAGCACAGCCAAAGCCAAGCACAATTAGACAAGTCATGTTCTACAAAGGGGGATCCCTCTTCAACTCTTCCTGCTGTTATTTAAAACCCCATTCGGCTGCTATTTTTTCCAGATTACATCACTTGTTTTCTTTGTTTATTAGATTCCCAGCTGACTGTTCCCTGGGATATGATGACCCTTCTCCCAAGAGGAAGAGGCTTTGTGCCTTTCTCTCCCTTTGCTAGCAGGCTCCTTCTCCTGGTGGGGTCAACATAGCCCCACAAACTCAGAGCAGCTCCAAACAAACACGTGGAGTACAAAGTTTTGGCTGCTGAGACCCCTGTGGGGGATTTCTGGCCCACGACACTGATGTTTGCTAACGAAGGATCATTTCCTGACCCAGGCCCAATTCCCATTCCTGTCTCTCTGGCAAAGGTGACCTGAGCCTGTCCATGGCCGTGCTCAGCCAAGGACTCGTGAGGGAAGTACAGTGAGCAGTCCAAACCCCTCCATGCCATTACCTCGTCCTATGAATCAGCTCCACCGTCATCTGGCAAGGGGAATACCCTGGAATTCAGACTCCAGTCACTTGTCATGGTCACCAAAGAACAACTCTGTGCCACCAGTGCCATAAGCTGTGCCTTCCTGGGAGGAGCAGTGTGCTCCTCTGGGATCAGCAAGGCTCCCTGACACAGGGAATCAGACAGGAGCAGTGCCAGAGACCTGTCCAGCTCACCCCAGAGAGATCAAGCTGGCAGACTATTTCTGAGGATAATTTTTATGAAAATTACAATATTTAAGGCCCTTTAACAGCAAAAGGATACTTCAAGAAACAAAAATAAGTGCCAGCAGCCACCTCAGACTACCCTTGGAAGGGGAGCATGCCCTGACCTACCTGCCTCATCCCAGATGAAGGAAAGTAGGAAAACAGAATGAAACAGAGCGATGGAAGGGACAGTGGGGATAACAGGACCAGCCAGAGCAGCACACTCCCCACAGAACACACCCATGCTCTCCCCACAGTTAATGCAGCAGCAAGCATTAGAGCCCGGCTGGTGGCATTCCCTGTCACACTCCTGCTGGCATTCCCTGTCACACTCCTGCTGGCATTCCCTGTCACACTCCTGCTGGCCCAGCCTGCCCTCCTGGTGCCATTCCCTGTCACACTCCTGCTGCCATTCCCTGTCACACTCCTGGTACCATTCCCTGTCACCCTCCTGGTACCATTCCCTGTCACACTCCTGCTGGCCCAGCCCGCCCCAGCGCCCCCGCACTTACTGAGCCATCCCACGCTGGGGCTGCGCTGCACTCCCAGTTCATCGTCCAGCGTGCGCGTGGCCAGGCAGGGCACGGAGCTCTCCAGCGGGCTGCGTGCTTGTGCCGGCAAGCAGGAGACGGGAGCAGCAGCAAAGAGCAGGAAGAGAGCAAAGGGGAGAAGTTAAAAGAAAAGAAAAGAAAATTATGCCAGAAAGAAAGGCTCAAGCAGTGGCACAGGGAAGCCAGGCAGCAGAGAAGGTTTGAGCTGCACGGTGCGGGCACCAAAGCCCACTCATTTAGATCCTGACATCTCCTCCGCAGCTCCGCCTCGCAGAGTTCACTGGGAAGGGCTGGACACAGCTTTCCATCCCTGGTCTCTGAAATTCAGGCATCTTTGAAGCAGATCTCATGGAAGTGAGTGAGCAGCTGCAGTGCTGGTAGCACTGAGCAGTTCCAGGTTGCAGCACCATCAGTAACAACAGGTTTTTCAAATTAAAGATCACATCATGTCCCAGGAGCCAACTTTGAGCATCCTGACCCCATCTGTACACACTCAGGCACACCAATCCAGACTTGGAAATGCTCACCTTAGTCTGCAATGCTTCCAGTGATGCCAATATACACACTGATAGGGGTTTTCCAAGCATTCCTTGGACACCACCTCATTTCTGGTAATGTTCAGCTGATGCCACTGTTCAGCTATAAAGGCACTGAGGTCCCAGTTCATGTGAAAAGCACTGAACTGATTAATGCTGAACCAGAGGAGCCATGGCTGCCCCATCCCTGGAAGTGTCCAAGTGACCAGGCTTGGAGTAACCTGAGCTCGTGGAAGGTGTCCCTTCCAGGCAGGGCCTGGAACAAGATGGTCCTTCAGCTCCCTTCCAACCCAAACTCCTCTAGGGTTCTAAAGTAGAATAAAACCTTTCTCCCCCCACAGCCAGGTACCCTCCTGTCTGTGCCTCAGCTGACACCATGCCAACAGCCTGCTTTTCCCACTCAACTGCTTCCAAACCATGCTGCCAGCACAGTGTGAACAAACAGTGCTCAGGAGGTGTTCAGGCAGCACCCACGCCGTGATGGGACCGTGCCATTATTTATGGTGGTTAAACACACACACTTAAACACATCACAGCTTTCTACAGGCTCTGCCAGCTTGGGTTTAGCAGCATTTCATCATTTCTCACTTGCCAAAGGCTCCCACAGGTGTTAAATTATACAAAATGCTGGCAGGCACGAAGCTCTGAAAGAAAAATCTCAAAATGGAAAGCAAATGTCATCACAGAAGGCTGGTAAATATTGGTCAGTCCTCGGGCACCTGCAGAAGGAATGGGGACCACAGATCCCATGTTATAGCTGTGCCAGCTTGAGAGCTGCTAGCCCAGGTGCCACGTACTGCTCCAGGGGTGCAGGACAAGGGCTGTGCCAGGAAGGGATACAAAGAACTCTTCAAAAGCCACTCAACAAAACCAGACACACACAAAAACCCCTGCGGGAGTCTCATCAACATGTAACATGGAAAGATCCCTGCTGAACGCTTCATGCAGCTCACCCTTCTACCAATGAAGCAAGGAAAAGGGCTGTGTCTTCACAAAGTAACGTGGAGGGACTGCTTAGTCCAAATTTGTATGCCCAGAATTTTGGCAATTATCTTTTTCCTAGTGAACAGACAGCAAAGGAGTGCTGTGATTTACCCTCCTCCATCCATGGCACACAAGGAACTACCCTCTTTTCCCAATTCCTTCCCAGAACAAAGGGGTGATTCCTGACAAAACATCCTGCCACAGCATGAGCCACATCAGCCTCTACATGCAGCGATGGAGAGCAGCTGTCAGAGCACAGCTTGGCCGTGTCTCTGCCCATCTGATCACTAGCTCACCTTCAAACAGAGCACTGACATGCAAGATGGGGGCTGAGGATGACTTGTCCAGGGACCACAGAGCCACCCCCATCCCTAGAAAGGACTGGGAAAGGATAGAGGTGCTCCAGGATCAATTATGGCAGGGAGATGGGCAGTACATCGCTCTTTCTTAGGTTCCTGAATTTCTAGAGGCATCTGGGATAACTGCATGGGGCTCATTCATCTCAGAAGTCAAAAATAAGAAGATTTTGGAGGCCCTCAGACTTCAGTTATTTTAGTGCTCTGACCCAAGTGAGACAGAGTCACCGCAGGATTTCTTTGAGCCACAGCCCTGGGTATATTTCCAAATTTCAGATCTAGCAAACAGATGCCACCCCTGGAGGTGCTCAAGGGCAGGCTGGCTGGCTTGCAGAAGGTGTCCCTGCTGAGCCAGTCAAGCAGGGGGCAGCTACACCAGCCTGTAAAGCTGCTGTGCAGAGGGCAGGCGGATGCTCAGACCTTTTGGATGCAAGTTTCACTGACACTGAGATGAAAACAAACACCTACCTGGAAAGAAACTCAAGGGGAATTTAGGAGTGCTTGGGGCTGGTGGCACAGCCATTAGGGTGATTAACTATGCTAAGAGACAGCTGCACTCCTGTTGGCCTCATAAAATTTTTATCTGTCTAAAGGACACATGAGACACCCACTGAATCTAAGGTATAACCTGATCAAATAGATTCTGTAGTTACTTTTCCATTGAAGTGTAAATAATAAATAACAGAAACGACTGCTCATCAGGTATTTCCCCCATGTGTCAGTCTTGCCCTCCTGAAGTCTCAATGCACTTGTCATGGAACAGAGTGTGTTATGCATCCTCAGAGCACATCAATATTCCAGGTGGGAGAACAGAGACATAACAACATAAAAGGAGTGCTGATGGCCAGACCAGGAAAGAATTCCTGGAGAATCAGCCCAACTGAGCCAGGACCTGCACAGCCCATTCAAACAAGAACAAGAAATGAACGAAATTGAAATCACTTAAAATCCAAGTAAAGAAGGCCTTTAGCCATGACAAATGAGCAGGGGCACAGGAATGCCCTTTGTCAGCATCACTCTTCCTGGGACAAGCTCTGGAAAAGGGGTTTGCAGCCGAGAACTGAGGGCATCCCCTACAAGAGCTGACTGAAACAGCTGAGCACCAGGAGCTCTGTGTCTGTCTGGGGTTCAGCCTCCCACACACCATGGCCACAGGCCAGGGTTCTGCTCCTCACAGCAAACCTGGCCATCAAAGGTCCAGAAAGGCTCGGAGGCACGGAGGTGGTAACAGAAAGCAGATCCCTTCCCTCCAAACTGCTGGGAGCACGCTGTGGGAAGGCATCCAGAGGGCCAGGCTGGCTGGGGCTTGCAGCAATGTGGTCCAGCTGTCATTTCCTCCCTAGAGCCCATCCCTCTGCTCTCCACTGGCACTCTCCATGTGCCAACAGGGCACACCCTGCAGGGATGTTCACTGAGAACGCTCCCTTGGCTCACACTGCTGCACCTTGCCTTACTCACTCACTCACCACCTTATCAGGGCACTGGACACAACAAGAGGCATCACCCAGAGCAAGGAACATCCTCCAGATGCACACACTCCTGCTGCAAAATCAAGGCATGATCCAAGGTAGGAAATATTAATGAGGTGTGAGAATAGGTTAGGGAGGAATGTTAAGGTGAGTTTTAGAAGCCAAACACAGCAAGCTAAGAGGCCTTTTGTGGAGCAAGAAGAAAATAATTTCTTCACTTGCTTTTATTTTCTGGGTATTTTAAAATGGCAACTTTTAGCCCAATTTCCAGACTGCCACAGGAGACAGTCAAGAGAACTCCAAGGCATGACAAGAGGCATAAATCTCCTCTTTTTTTTATTACCATGAGCAAGAAGACCCCAAATCTTCACCAGGCACTGAGTCACTGTCCAGGCCTCTAGCTGTCTGCATACACACACACACACACACACATTTAGGGACACCACTACCAACATGGCACTACCTACCAAGCCTTTTTTAGAGAGAACAGGACACATGTTCACAACACACACCACAAAACTATTTGAGGATGAATAAAGCAAGATGGAAATCAGCTTTACCCCACTGGACAACGATTGTATGGCAACAAAATGCAAGCTAGGTGTTACTGCCAGGTCATTTTTGATTCACAGTGCCACAGACACAGAACGTGCACGGAAACTTTGTCTCTGCCCAAATGTTGATAAAAAAGGTGATCAGCCTTTTAAGGTTCAGGCCCCACCAAAGTTTGTGGCGAATCTCTTTCCTATCGTTGCTCCTAAACCATCTCCTGGATGCCAGCTGCAAGGGCAGCCCCTGCCTTCCTGCCTGCCCCTGGAGTCCCTGCCAGTCCAGTGAAGGTGTGGTTAGAGCGCCGTGCCAGGGCCAAGCAGCCTGCAGAGCCCCCGCTGATGCTCCATCAGCACGGCCTCGCTGCTCCTGGGGTTAGGAAGCGGGGTCAGGGCCACGCAGTTAGTTGGGTTGCCGTGACAGAGAAGGCCATAGCCAGCTAGCCTCTGCATTACCATTATCGGGGTTGGAAAACATCCTACTTGCACTGGAGACGGTCTTTCCAATGTCAGCCAGCGAGCGCAGGTTGGATTTCTTGGTCTGGTGCCGGTGCTTCCTGAGCAGCGTGTAGGTGACCTTGTCCTTCAGCTCGGATTTCAGCAGCCCCGTCTCGATCTGATTGTCAACGATCATCTCTGTGCCGGCACAGGGAGGGGGATGGAGGGGAGAGCAAAATTAACCACCGAGCTCAGAACCGCCTCCAGGGAGAGCGGAGAGACAGGGCTTGGAGGCATTTTCACCCTGCCTTTTTGAAGGCTTTCTTATCACCTCAAAGCCAGCTTTTATTTGTATGAAAACCTCTTTTAGACATTCCTCTTGAAGCAGAACATAAGCATTTCCATCCAGCATGAGCCACTAACACACACCTATTGCACTGAAATTCCCTTCTGCTATTTCCCACATGCCACAGAGCCTATTTCAAAGACCAGAGTAAGATGGTTCTTAGCTCAGAAATTAAATCCCCTCTGAGCCTGGACTTTTGTGAGGATGCTATAAACTCTATTCTAAGTTCCATGATGCTCCCATAAAGCACACAGAAAATCTTCAATCAGATTCAAGAAGGCCTGAGTTCACCTTGCAGGCCCCCAGTAAAACCTAATCTAAAGATAGGAAGAAGTCCTGGAGATGAGCCACTAATTAAATCATTCACTTGCAGGACTGAAGTGATGGCAACTGCAAGCGGCAGAACTTGCTCCAGTTACCACAGCATGTATTATATGGCTTTACTTTTCATGGAGTCACCAGGAGAAAAGGCCCCCAGCGCCCTCAATGCCCGCTCACTTCCTATCAATTCCCTCCTTTCTCCTCCCTTATCCCAGAGGAAAAAGGCAAAAAAGGTGGCCAGACTTATGAAGAATGTCCCCTGTGCAGAAAGTCTCGCATGAAGTTGTTCCCTCGGTGACTCGAGTTCATGCGCTGTCCCCCGAGGGCAAGTGGCAGCTCATATTTGTCTGCTGGTAACTTTTATTTGTGCTAATAATAAAAGTTATGGCAAGGGGGAGGCAGGACACGCATCACATTTGCTAACTCAGTGAGTCAGAAAGTCATCCTCGACGTGCTGCTCAGAATTAAAGCCTCTTCAAATCCCCAAGGAAGCACCTAGCTCTTCCTCTCAAATTAAGACAGGGTGGGCAAACGCACGTAGGTACCCTTACACAACATGCTTGGCAAAAGGCTTTTAGACTTTTGCTAAGTGTTATTTTAATGCAAGCTTTTCTTGCTCATGGTTTTGTTTAAGTGATTTTTGGAGTCCTTCCTTCAGAACCTTCAATCAAGTTTATCCTTCTCGATCTGGCAATTCCCTTCCCTGTTGCTGGTAAAAGACGAACAACAAAGAGAGTTTTTCTTTGGAGTTTTCCTTTCCTGTGTGTCACTACCAGACAACAGCCCAGTGATCATGATTAAATCATCCTGGAAATCCAGTGCTGGATATTCCTACCTGTCTGATTAAGGGTCTGGACCAGCAAAAACACCCCGCTCAGGACAGTGTCACAGTGTCACAGCAACAGCAGCCACCGATGTGTAATTTAATCTCCTAGGAATTAGATTTAATTTGGGGGTTGAAGAAGGAGATTGAAGGTGGCATCTCCAAGGGACTTCAAAAGAAAATTTAATGTTTGAGGATTTAAGGTTTTGGACCATGAACATCAGCTTCTGAAGCAGGTTCACCTTCAGCAGAAAACTTGAGAGGTTCTTGGGGGGGTTTATTTTGTTAAAACTTTGCAAAGCTGTGCATTTGGATACACAGACACAAAAGCCATAAGCACTTGCAAAACTAAGTTCAAACTCTGTATTTAACACCAGAAGCAGCTGTAATTCCAAGTCTTCCAATCCAGTGTATGGGAGAATTCCAGGGCAGGATAATTTTGACCTTACTTCCTGAGATGTACAACCAAAGCACTGAGTTTTGGCAGAGGAAGTACTTAATTTTGCTCTTTTGCTCATGTAATGGCTCTTAAACTCAGCATTTTGGTTAAATGTCCCTCCACTGGATGGCTCACTTGGAAAAGTTATTTTCCCTAAGTTCTCACACACCATGGGCAACATGATGTGGCTCTCAGCATGTCACCGAGCGTCACTCCGGGCCACAGCTGATCTGACCTCCCACTGTTCAGAGCATAGCACCAGCTGGTGCTGGGGGGGCTCTCCCCTCTCCCTTGCTGGGGGCTTCCAAACACATCCCCACGTGCCCTCAGTGGGCAGCTGGACACCTCACCCAAGAGCAGCTCCTGGCCCAAGTTGTCCTGCATGAACGGTACCCGACGGGTGTCTCTGCCCCCAGACATGTGGCCCTTCCACGTGTCAGCTTTTCCATAGGGAACATAAATTAAATGGATGTCTTTTGCTCTTCTTCCTGCACTGAGGAGGACTCTTGTAATCCATCGGTTATCTTTCTCCAGGTACTTTTTAGTTTCCCCCTCTTATTCCTTGTTCTTTTTTTTTTCTCTTTATTGGAAAAGCAGCGCTTTTTCATTAAAACCACCCATAAAGCCACACCAGGATTAATAAAAATTTGCGGGGAAGCGGTGAGAGAAAGAGCCAAGACAGATGTACTTACCCACCACCTGTGGGAGGGAAGAGGCCTCCATATCCAGCATGATGGAGCCCTTCTCTATGCACGTCCTCAGCTCGAACAGGCTGTGCAGAGACAAGGTGGCCACGTGCGGTTTGCTCCATCGCTCCCCGCCTTGCTCCACCTTCTCCTCAAACTTGATCCACCTGCAACAGGGCACAGCAATGACATGGGGTTAAGGCTGTTGTCTCCTTGCAGGGCAATAAATCACGTGAATGCCTTCACTGTCTTGGCAGTTCTGGTTTAATGGCTGGACTCCATCGTCCTGGAGGGCTGTTCCAAACGAAATGGTTCTGTGATTCAGTTTCAGGCAATAAAATATGGAATCAGCCACTGGCAAGATGGAGGCAGCATGGAATACTGCTGTCCCATACCCACAGGCTGACAAAGGAGAGAAGAGAGGAGCACAAGCCAGCCATGTCTGAAGGTGCTCTTAGAGAACAAATGAGCCACCAAAGGAGAAGGCACCAATTAAGGAGCTCATTCTCTCCCTCCAGCTGCTGTTTAATGATTTAACCAAGCAGGTCTGAAAAACCCAGAAAACTTATCTCTGATGGAAGGTGAGAGCAAAGGGTAAATCCTGGTTGTGCAAAACACTCTTTACACCCCTAAAACTACATCCCAACAGCAGGGAAGCAGGAGGCTCCATGTCCCTGGGCTGCAGCCCACCCCCAGCTCCCCCTGCAGCCTTGACCCTGCCCTTGGCCCTGCAGCCACAGGGATGGAGCACAGGGCCCCCGTGAGCCTGGGGCATCTCAGCTGGCCCACACCTTCTTCCTCCCCACAGCACCCAGCAACAGCTCTGGTGTAAACTGGGAGTGCAGGAAAACGTGGTTCAGTACGCCCTAATGGCAAGGCAGAAATGGTTTTTAATCCCCTCTTCAGACACCATTTTAATATATGTGGAAAATGAAAATACCAGTGACTAATTAAGAAAACACCCCACACACATAAGGTAAGGAAGCTCATACATTTGTTCAAAAGAATATTATTAACAGCAAGTGAAATTATCTTTAATCCTGAAAAATGTATTACTTGAGGATTAATCAATTATGCTTCACAATTGAAATAATCTCTTTTTGAGACTTGGTTTTTTTAAAGCTGCTTTTTAACTCAAGATAAAAGACTGATTTTCATCTCCAATTAATAAAGTCCTTTTAGTTCACAAGAACTGAGTGTTTCCTAGGACACCTGAGGGACCTGGGTGGATGCAAATCCGTGCACTTCAGGGGCTTTGTGTGGAGTCATATTTACCCTGTTCCAGCAGGAAGGCTGCAAATTACCAGTGTTTGTCCTTCCAGGGAAAGTGATTACTCACAACTATCAATATTTGCTTTTTGTTTACTTTTCTCACTACAAGCCACAGACCCAGCACAATACACCAACCATTAACTTGCAGACCTGGCTGAACAAATGCCTGCTCGATTCCCACCATCAGAGTGTGTGTGGAGCTCACAGCTCACCTAGCTCCAAACTGCTGCCAGGGGCAGGGACACCTTCACCCAGCACTACCAGGGGAATGCCTGCATTCCAGAGGTGGTCACAGTGAAGCAGAAAAAGGAGAAGACCTGCGGCAGCTGGAGGTCCCCAGGCTGTTGTGAGGCTCAGTGAAGGAGCTTTTGGGGACTTTGATTTGGCCACCATAGTGTGGGGACAGTCTCTCTAAAAGGCAGCAAGATGGAAGGAAGGTGATGGGATTACAGAGAAAAGGAATGACAGTGTGGGATGGTGGATACAGGATTTTTGAACTTCTGTTACGATCTTTTTTGTTGTATAAGCTGTGTCAGGAATTACATTTTCACCCTTTTACACCTGATAATATCAACACAGCTTTCACGGGGCTGCTGGGAGTGAGGTGCAGCAGGCAGAAGGAACGTGTAGGTGTCAGAACAGAGCAGGGGGGAGATGAGGAAGGTAATTTGATTGTTTGCTCTCTCAAATAGGAGTGCAGCCTTCAGCCCTGCACCAGCGTGCAGGCAGCACTGCTCTCCCCTGCTGAGAGCTGTGCAGTTCTGCACTGGGGCCAGGGGAAGCAGCAACCCCACCAGGTCTCTTCTGCCCTCTCCTCTCTCCTCCACTGCACTTTTTCCTGTGTTCAGTACCTGCTCCTGCAACTTCCCAGCTGTGGGAAGAGAGCTGTTCTGCAGCAGCAGATGTAAAAACAACCCCAAAACAGCTGGCCCACTGAAGCACAGCACCAGTCAGCTCTGGATGCACTGGGAGATGCTCAGGAGCTCTCACGAGGTTCTATGGTGCAAGATTAAGTAATTTCAGAAATGAACTGAAAAATCCTGAACAACCAGACACTTTGTAAGATCACTATCCACAAAGGCAGGAGGTTGGGCCAATTCAACAGCACTTCAACAGGGTGCTTCGTTACATTCTGTGTCATTTATACAAAGAGTCATGGATCCATTCAGGTTGGCAAAGTCCTCTAAGATCATCCAATCCAAACATGAACACAGCAAAGCCGAGGCCACCACCAACCCATGTGCCTAAGCATCACATCCACACATTTGTTAAATCCCACGAGAGGTGAGGACTCCACCACTACCCTGGGCAGACACCCCACTATGGGTGAAGAAATTTTTCCTAATATCCAACCTAAACCTTCCCTGGCACACCTTGAGGCTGTTTCCTCTTGTATTGTGGTTTGCTACGTGGGATAAGAACCCTGCAGAGAACCCCACACACAGCTCAATTCAGCATTCCTACCAAAGAAGTGTAAAAACACCTAAATCAGGAGGTGCTGAATTCATGGTAAGAGGAAAGAACAGCAATAAAGGGAGAAAAAGGATGAGCAACAAGACAGAAGTTAGAGAGTAAAAGGTGAAAAGTCATTAAGTTCCCCAAATGACTGAGAAGCAAAAATAAATTAAGATAAGAGGTAAAGAGGTAGGTGGTGGAGCAGCTCATTAAATCACAGGTAAAGAAGATTAGAGTGACAAAACAGGGGCTAACTTTGAACACAGACAGTGCCCTTAAGAGGGGGAGGTGGGGAAAAAGCTTAGCCCAGCCACCATAAAGGAAAAGGAAAACCCCCCAGGCTCAATGAGGGCAATTGGGAATAGGTCAGTGGTGTTCAGATATGAACTACATGGAACTCCAAAAACATCCCAGCTTTTTTATCATGGCTTTTTGACCAAACTAACAGCAGCATCAAAGAGCCCGACCAAGGAACTCGAAGCAAGCATCCTCATCCAGCATTTAACGTGCATCTTGAATAATTTCTTCACAAGAAAATACCTTCTAGCTTTTTTTCCTATTTAAAACGAATTCCATCAGTTACTCACGAGGACAGGGACAGCCTGTCCCTGTGAGGTGGGACCAGGCTCAAAAGCCACTTTGGGGCAATAGTACTGAAGCGGTTTTGACTCAGCCAAATTGGAATTGGCAACTTCTGCCAATTCCGGCCGAGACGTCCCCCTTTGCAAAGCACTACTGAGCCCTTACTTTTCTCTCCACAGGCAAACTATTGCAATCCATCTGGCACTCTCTTGTTTCCTTAGTTTTTCTTTTGGAACACTTAAGCAAACCCTAAAATTCTCTCATTTACCAAAGAATGGTAATTTGAACCGTACAGGCTCCTTTCTGCCGCTTCCCCATGCGATCCTGCAGCACAGGTATGTGCTAAAACAGGAATTTCCCATGGAAAGCGCTGCTGGCTGCCCTTCCCTTTGGGGGTAAAGGAAAACCAACCCACCTTGCAGTCTCCTTCCACTCCATCTCCTGTCCATCGACAGCCAGAAGCTCGTCCAGCTCGGTGAAGAGCTGCGGGGGCGCGGGGCTGTCATCTTCCTCTCCGAGGATGAAGCGGATGCGCTCGGCGGCGGGGGAGACTGCAGAGGTGAAAATACTGCGGTTAACGGCCTGCGAGATGACCAGGGACGTGCGGCTCCTCTCCTTGCCCTGCTCCCCAAGGCCATTCAGCTGCTTCTCCAGGCTGCCTCTGCCATCTGACATCCTCGTCGCTGCGGACGCAGGCGCGGGAGCGAGGGTGCCTCTATCTCCCTCTCTCCCCTCTTCCTTGCCTCTCACTGAACTTCTTACAAGTTCAAGCTGGGAGTAAAGTTCAGGAAAACTTGTCTCTTCCTACAGACCTTAACTAAGTTACAGCAATTTGCAGTTCCTTGTGAAAAAAAAAAGCACTATGGAGCTCAGAACCAATGCGCTCTGTGGCGCTGCCCGAGGACCTGCCGCTCTCTGAGCAGCCCGGATCCTTCACCCCCTTTTTTATATGACCTAAAACCAGTTCCAGCCAAACCAATTGGGGGCTTGCTGGCACAGCATCCCACTGCTGGCTTTCCCCTCCCTCCCTGCCAGCCAGGTTTGGGCTGCCATTGGCCTGCAAGGCAGGCTGGAACCTCCCCAGCCCACCACTGGAAAGCACAGGAATACTTAACAGAAGGGTTGTCTCCTCTATACGTGAAGAATGCAACCCAATGCATTTAGTCAGGCACCAATGCACTGAAAAAAAAACAAACTGGTCCCGGTTGGAAAAGACTGCCTGTTTAGGCAAAAGAGCTCACCACACAGCACAAGCAAGGCCTCTTTGCATTATAAGCTCGAGAAAAAGGACAGAAACCCTTTCCTTGTTAAGGGTTCAAAATTCAATCCTGAGAACATCACTGTCCCCATCCTCCCAAGGCGCGAGGGCATCTCCTAAAGCTAAGTGGAGCCCACAGCACCAGAGTCACCTTGCTGGAGGGCTCCTTGGGGTCTACAGCCTTTTCCTCAGCATATCACCTTAAAACAAAGGTGTGACCATGTGAAATTTTAAGACCGACATCCTTTCTGCTGGGTGTTTATCAGCATTAGAGATACACAGCAGACTATGAACTTTGAACAGTTCTGCTAAAAACTCCTTTCTTTTCAAAAGATCAGCTGGCTGTCTCTTGCAAAATAATTAATTACATCAGGTGTCCAACCACATTGATTTTTCCAGGGTAAAGAGACTCTCAATTTGCAATGGGAAAAAAGAAACCAGTAAAAAACATGCCCTTTACTCCTTTTTTCTTTTCCTTAAATAAACTTTGATAGCTTTCTTCCTAAATTACTCCAAGTGATGATGCTTCAGTGATATAGATTTCCCTTTGACTGAAAGTATATTTGTTATCATAAATGCCCTTGGAATCTCCTGGGAGCCAAGGACCTTGCCCTGCTGCTACAGCAGCCTCCCCATCACGAGGCATTCAACGTCCTGCAGGCTTCAGGAGAGCTGGAGAGAGACTTCTGACAAGGGCCTGGAGTGACAGGACAAGGGGGAATGGCTTCCCACTGACACAGGGCAGGGTTACATGGGATATCAGGAAGAAATCCTTCCCTGTGAGGGTGGGCAGGCCCTGGCACAGGCTGCCCAGAGAAGCTGTGCCTGCCCCATCCCTGGCAGCATCCAAGGTCAGGTTGAATGGGGCTTGGGGCAACCTGGGATAGTGGAAGGTGTCCCTGCCCATGGCAGGGGGCTGGGGATGCCAGACTATCCATCCATATCATGCATGTTCCATCGTCCTCTCCCTTTACCTGCACTAATGAATCTCAATATACTTTTATATTCAAACAGAATTCAAATATCACAGCTAGAAAACAAATAAAATACAAGTCCATCTTACTGCTTCAAAAAGCCAGGTGGACCACAGAAGTGGCTGCTGCTTGGGAGAGGCTGTAAGAGAAGGGACTGCAGAGCTGCTTGAGCATCCACTGGAGCCAACAGGAACAGTCTCTCTCGAGTCCCTCTAAAGTGGTTTTACTATCTGGAATGCCACAGTGATATTCCCAGCCATGATCACTGCACACTGAACCTGGGTGCCCATTGTCTGTCACCCCCTCTCTCCTGCCTGCCTCCTCTCCCTGTAGCTCACTTCCCGTTATCCACATTTAGGGCCCATGATAAGGCTCACGGCCCCATTAGGGGCTTGCTGGGTCACAGGTCCCGATGCTCGCCCGACCACGCGTTCTTTATTGCCATCTGGGGGTTAATGGGCCATTGATGGGTTGTTTATGAGCTCCCTCCAGCAGGGAGAACATATTTTCACCCTAATCTCCAGGTGAGCACCGCGTGCTCGGCGTGGGCAGCCGGCTGAGCCCCGGGCTGAGGCACTGGAGAGTCATTAACCCGGGGGGTGACCCCTCAGCCCTCTGCCTGCCCGACCTTTGAGCACCACCTCGCCAGCCTTGGCCATCACCTTCGCTTCCACCTCTCCCTTCCAGCTCGGAGCTGCTCAAGCCACACCGCTGGTGCCAAGAGCGGGTCGGGCTGCTCAATGCTGTGTTCCTTGCTGTCTTCTTCAAGAGAACAACCTGATGTCAGCAGACATTTGCAGCAGAGAAAAGGCTAATCCACAAATTTAGATGGCTGGGGTTATATTTTTCCCCTGAATGGGAGAGGAATTAACACATTAATTGCAGAGGGTTGAGTGGTCCAACGCAACATGGATACAGAGGTAGTGCCATCCATGGGGATGTCTCTCACTTGCCTCTCTTCCCTTTCCAGTTCCATTCAGCCACACACAGTCTGTGAGGCAGCTTATAAAATGGTAACTTGCACAGAGCAAACACATCAGCAGTTTCTCCAAGTTCAGCTCAGGCCAGTTCCGAGCACAATGTATACCCTCGGGTTCCCAAAGGCAAAAATCAATCTCCATCAAGAGAGAGGAATCTCAGGGAGTTCGGAAATAGGGAGAGACACGTTCTAGCACAACAACCTCAAATGGGGCATGGCTGAGCTTCTCAGCCCTGCTCCAGCAATGGCTTTGGTGGCAGCCAACCCTCACTGCCTGGTGCAGTGGCACAGCCACACGTGGAAATGCCAGGGGGATTGGTGGCACTGGCCCCTATCCTAAAGTCACCTCCTGCTTCAGTACCGAGGGCCTGGCTGGTGGTGGGTGGAAGGCAGCTTCAGCCTGGCTCTCTGGGTGTACAGTGCTGCCTCAGGATGGAGCACAGGGGTATGTATCTGTGTTGATGCACAAGTTAAACAGCCTGTTCTCCACTCAGCCAACACGCTTTCACTCCTACCTTTTCAGCTGGGACACTTCTGAAGACCCTGGGGACCTGCACCTCAGCCAACTGCATCCTCCACCCGAGGCCAGAGGGAGCATCAGACACAAAGCTCTCTGTTGCTTCCAAGTGCGTTGGCAGCTGCAGAAATCCCTGAGAGACCTGGTGCAAATCCCTCCCCAGAGCCTGTGGAACCAGTATCAAGGAAAGCTGTTTGTCAAATGTGCTTTCCAGGCAGACTTATTAACATAGGACATGATCACACTGCCCTTCCTTTGTGGGGCTGCCCTCCCTCTGCCAAACCCATCTGCAGTCAGAGCAGTGACACACTTGTGCAGACACCTCTAACAGATTTAAACTTGTTTCCTTTCCAGTTCAGCTGACTTGCCTTCCAAAATTCTCCATTACCAAAACCAATTTTAACTGTGTGCCACTGTCAACCCAAGACACCAGCTAAAGGCAGCTGGGGAGGCTTTGGTGGCCCACAGTCACACCAGCTTCCTTTACAGACAAACCTGAACAGAATGCCACCAAAAACCAGGAGATGCTGAAAACAATCCCCTGGGACATCCAACGCACTGGGCCAAGGCCAGAGGGTAAGGCAAGGGACGCTCTCCTGCTTTACCAGCAGTACTGTCCAGCACTTGTGGAGCACACAGCCCCTCCACGCCATTCCTGCACCTTTACAGGTAAGAACTGTTATTTCCTTTATGGAAGGGAGAACAATCTCTTCAGGTAACACCAGTTTCTGCAGAACAGCCCAGGTGAGAACTGATTTCCGATTCCCCAAGCGCTCCACCAAGCACAAGCATCCCTGAGCACCGCCGAAGAAGCCAACTGCACACGGATTTACACGTGACACCTGCTTCTGGAAAGACTGCTCCGAGTTTTTGGGAACACTGCTCCGAGGCCACACGCCGGCCTTTCCCAGGGTCCCACAGGAGCAGCCCTGGGTGATCTGCTCCTCAGCTAATCACTCTCAGCAAGCGTGAGAATTTCTCCTTGCTTGTTTTGCGTCTTTGCTTACGAACGATTACTTTTTGACCCCGTTCTGCGGCGGGCTGGCTGTGAGGCAGATTAGACTTTCCACAGGCAGGACTTGGCAGCCAGGAGGGAACGCTCCCCACAGCACCTGGAGCCCACCCCAGGCCACTTCTTGCATGACTGTGGGGTGCAGAGAATGCTATTCGAGGTGCTTGATCTATCTTGGAGCAAATGCACCCCATCCTTTCAGAGTGTCCCTTCCCAGACATGATTAACAGCACTGACTGCCTCTGGAATAATCCATTTTTTGCTGGACTTTTGGACTGCACGATAGTGTTTTGCTGTGAATTCCTCTGCAGCATGTGGCATATATTAAGTGTTTGATCTGCAAAAAATCTTTGGTGTTGGACAAATTCTTGCTAATACTGTGCTCTCTCAAGTGCCAGAAGAACAGCAGCATTTACATAACACCTTGCTGGGCATTCCCAGCTCCCTTGGTCTTTGGTGCTGTGCCTGCAGACACTTTCTTAACACATTCCTTGGAGATGCAGGGAGAGAAAAAGGACCCTTCTTCCCAAAACGTTTCACATCAGCTCCTCCAGGGATGCAATGGGAACAATCAGTCTGGGAAACTTCTAAACAAACCCAGCACTATCTCGTGAAAATTTGGTGAGCCTTACCCTAAAAGACAATTCCTATAAAAGAAGGCAGCCTGCCAATTCCATCCACATGGCTGTGATGAGAGACCACCACATGCTATATCCCAAGTCCCATGATGAGCTTTTCCAGCACTGCTGCACTCGAGGGAGACTCTGCCTTCAAAGACTGTTTTTCCCAGCTGCAGCCAAACCCAGCAATA